GGTCCGCCTGGCGCCGTCGTTATTTGTTTTTCGGCGCCAGGCGAAGACCTTTTTATTCAAACGTTATTTTAATTGTTAATATTATTTATTTTATTCTTTGGCCAGGGCGACTTAATTTATATTGTTTTATAGGATTCTATTTATTTATGGTTGTGAGCCGCCCCGAGGCTTGGGAGAATGGGGCGGCATAGAAGATCCCTAAATGAATAAACAAATATTTCTCTTCGCAGATCTGGCCGAGATGGGAGAGGTCAAGCAGATGCCTCTCAGAGGGCTAATATTATGCATGGAGAGTAACTGAAAAAGGGAAGCAGAGAGATAATCCTAAGACCAGAAACAGCACCACGCTGAGGCAGACCAAGGGCCCCCAAGCCCAGCTGCCCACCCAGTCCCACAAATGGGACCTGCGTGCAACAGCACCCCGCCCCCAACACCAAGCGCTCTGGCAGCTGGCACACACAGGCAGAGCACCCCTGCTCTCGGGGGCAGCAAGCAGCCATCAGGACTAGCCGTCACCGGTTGCCTTCCCCTCCATGAATTCGGCCAACCCGCTTTTACAGCTGCCCAAACGGGTGGCTATCACAACATCTCGTGGATGGGAATTCAACAAGAGCTCGCTTATTTTCCTGAAGCAGGGACCTAGCCCTTGTTCCCTGTAAATTGACTTAATTACACACATCATCAGGGCCATCTAAGAGAGATGGTGAGCAGCAGGGCCTTCCACGTTGTCCTAACGGCAACCCTATGAGAGGGATTAGATGGGAAGGTAGTGGCTACATGGACCAGGGGCGACCAGGGTTGTGGTTGCAAGTGTGGAGCCGAGCAACACTGGGATGGAAGCTCCTGAGGTCCATTATAGAACCATGGCATACGAATAAGGAAAGATGCGTATGGGTGGTAGTGCAGAGATAAAAAGAAGCTATCGATAATATAACCTGGGAATATAGGCTCTAATATACAAATTTATGCTGCAATACAAATAGCAACAACTATTCTCCTTTGGAAGTCAGACATCATCTGGCTAAATGGTCTTCAGATATGGCTATGCTAAAAAAAAAAAAATAGTATTTTATTGTCTCCAGTTCATTAAGATTTTCAGCTAAGACGCTCTTTCTCTTCCTACACTTGCCCCATTTAATTCGCCTTACATGTTCAGGTACAAGAGTGTATGTTTTTCATTTCTCATTACACAACTACAATATTCTCATTTTCTGCATCTTCTCTTTCTTGATCTTTATACATTAAGGTTCTACTTTCACCATCCTCGCAGACCATGAAATTCATAACACCCTACAATAAATCCACATGTTGAATGCTTCACTTTTACACTGGCAATAAGACAAATAGTTTTTATTTATTTAAAAGATTTGTATGTTCCTGTTGATCAAGTTATCAAGGCAGATTACAACAGATTGTAAGGATGCAATTTCGTGTTTGTTTATTCTATCGCTACACCACCCAACAGCATCCTAGACAAAACTAAAAAATATTAGTAGCATTGGCATCCTAAATTCTATTTCTCCTCCCACACACAATGGACTCTGTCCATTCAAACCCATCCTTGTTTCACCACACTCTCAACACAATAAATAAATAAATAGGTGAGGGTGAGTCAAAAATTATCCGCACTCTAGCTGTAGAATTCATTTTAATTAATGTTTAGAGAAGACAAATACATCATTTTTTGACAGATTCGCCTTGCTTTTCAATACACTTTGTTCATCTGTCAATAAGCTTTCCTATTCCCTCATTAAAAAATGTTTTAGGCTGAGCTGCGAGCCACGAATGCACCACTGACTTCACTTCTTTATCAGAAGTGAATCTTCGTCCTCGTAGGGCTGCTTTCAGGGGACCAAACAGGTGAAAGACCGATGGGGCAAGATCAAGACTATAGGGAGGATGTTTTAACTCTTCAAAGCGAGGTCTTTGCCGAACGTTGTCAGTGTGGGCAGAAGTGTACAGATGTGCATTGTCACGCAAGATCACAACAGCCTTGGATAGCAGTCCCCTGTGCTTAATCCACAGTTTAGGCTTCAGCTCTTCAATAAGCATCTCACTGTAACAAGCACTGTTGCTCATTGAACCTTTTTCCTGATAATGTTCTGAAACTGGCCCTTGAGAATCCCAGAAAAATGTAGGCATCAATTCTCCAGCTGTTGGCTGGCTTTTGAACTTCGTCTTGGTTGGCAACTGAGGATGTTTCCATTCCATACTCTGCCATTTACTCTCGGGTTCATAAGGATGAATCCATGTCTCGTCAGCAGTAACGATTCTCTTTAAGAAACTTTCACCTTCCTTAGAGTATTGGTCCAAATTTTGTTTGCAGATATCCAAACGCTTCTGTTTATGCTCCGCTATGAGTTGTTTCGGTACCCATCTCACACAAACTTGTTGAAACCTAAGTCTGCCATGGATTATTTCATAGGCAGAGCCGTGGCTGATTTGCAAATGATCTGCCACACGATCCATTGTCACTTTCAACAGAATAATTTAACATGTACCCTCAACGTTGTCATCAGCTGTGGACGTGGACGGGTGCACAGCTCCTTCCTGATGGCTAACACTTGTACGACCTTCCTTGAACTCCTCTATCCATTCAGACACACTTTTTCACGACAAAACATTTTCTCCATACTGTGCACAAAGTCCTCAATAAATAACCGCACCAGGTACGCCCTCAGACCACAAAAAACGAATCCCTGCACGCTGCTCTTCTTTCCTGCCAATCACAGGTGGGGCGTCCATGTTTGCCAGCACCACAGTTACAAATGAACTGATGGAACACGTTCACACCTGCACAGCAGCGACTGGGGAGACAGTAGCCTTGAACGGAAAGCGCTGCTAAGACAGTGCGGAAGTTTTAATATAACCGGAGTGCGGATAATTTTTGACTCACCCTCCCTGTACATCAGACCTAAACTCCCATATAAATTGGAAGAAAAAAAAAATACAGGGGAGTTCAATGGATCCGTCCAACAGACCACGCCCCCTAGTAACACTGATCTTGCCCCTTAACAGCAGAGGTTTGCGAATAGACTCGCCCAGTAAACCACGCCCCGTGGAAAGAGCCACGCCCCCAACCGCGAGACGGGAAAAAGAAATGGAATAAACCAACGCACCCCTTTTATCCTCCCTGGAGCAAATAATGGACTTGCCCAACAGACTGTTCTCCCTTCTGTTTTACGAATGGTTGCGCCCAGTAGGGGGAGGGAAAATTTCCTCACGTTCTTTCCCTCCTCAGCGTGTTCTCCCCGTTCTTCCCCCCATCCACTTGGCCATTCAACGGGTGGCCCCCGCCTTCAAGGAAGCCGCTGCAGCAGCGGCCCATCAACGGTTCCGAGACTCACCATAGTCTCGAGCGTAGTAACCGCCGTCTCCATGTTGAATAGTTGACATTCCTCAGGCGGTGGCACACTCCCCTCCCCACAGAGCCCCACCCCCTTTTCTCCGAGAGGAAGAGGCGGAGGTTTCTATTGGGCAGCTGTCATTAGATCCTCGTTCTGATTAGTTCTCCGTAAGCGCTTCCTCACACCTATAGGACGACGACTGGTATAACACCAACGCATGAGACAGACGCTTCTATTGGATGAGAGCTGGGCTCTGTGTCCCCCTGACTGGTTAGTTAGGAGCGAACGAGAGGCGGTGACTATGAGGGAACGACACTAAAAAGCTGGGTTGGCCAGGAGACTAAACCTTCGGCTCTTCATTGGTCCGGTTTAGAAAGAAAGGCGGGCCGGCATTTTGGTGCTCATGGGCAAACCTCCCAGTGCTTCTCTCCTATTGGCCCCTTCCCTTCCAGCCGTTTAATCTGGTTGGCCATTGCCTCGAGCAGGAGTCCTGGAAAAGGATTGGTTGGAGGGCAGCCAATCGCGAGCCGCCTGTTTCAACGGGGCGGTGAAGGGTTAGTGCCCCGCCGCGCTGCACTGTGATTGGCTGCGGGGGATGAAGCTCTCGGTTTGAATTGCTGGGTGTGGCCCGGCGATGCTCCTCGCGGCGAGGGGCCCGGCGCGGCTGCGGAAGGCTTGGGAAAGAGGAGGAGGAGGGTCCCCAGGCATGGCTGGGTGGGGCAGATGGAGTTTGTAGTACAGCAGCTCTGGAGGGTGCCATAGTGTGGGGAGCCTGCTTCAGTTGCTGGAGGCCGATTTGGTAGGTGCTTGCTCAAAATCTAGTCGTCATTTCATATCTTTTCATCTTCATTCAGAATTCAGTCTCCTTAATTGGGTTTTCCTCCAAATATAAGAATTACATTGATTGTTATGTTTCGGTATTGATCGATGTTGCTTTGGGTTGTAGTCTTATTAAAGGTACTGTAGCATACGAAACCATCAGAGCCTTGCGATGACTTAAAAATAAACATTGGTGCTAGCATAAGTATTTCATTGACTGTATCTATTGCAGAGCCTTTCAGGGTATATTACAAAGTTTTAAAAAATATATAAAAACCATTTATATAAAAACAGAAAAACAGACAGCACATGCAAAGACACACGTGTAGCCCACTTAATTAAACCCATGGTGCATTATAGAGCTTTTAGGAATTATATCACAGTTAATTCACCTGTATCATGTGATTTTAAAAAAATGTCATTCTAATTAAAGCGTCTACTTGATCTGGAAGATGGAAGTTTAGACAGGGAGGGTTAATGGATCCAGAAGTGTTGCTAGAGAACACCTTCAGTTGCCAAAAACCAACCTCGATGGATTCACAGCAGTGCTGAAAGCAGCTTGGGTCGATCCTATCTCAGCAGTCCCAACAGTTCTGAGTAAACGCTCATAGGAAGTCCTGCTGAATCAATGAGTCGCACTTCAAACAAGAGTGCATCGAGCCGTAAATTGTGGTTTTATTCTTTTTAAAAGAAGTTTGATGGCATTTTAAAATTTCTAAATCCAGCACACTGGGCCAAAGTGCTGCTAATATGAAAATATTTGTGTTCTAGTGCGCCATTTCAGAAGAGCCAGACATGCTGACCACAACATTATACATGCCTTTGAAAGCTGGGGATTTATTTTTGTGGACACTTAATGTATTTATGGTTTAAAACAAGTTTGGTTGGTTGGTTTTTTTGCAGCAGTATTCCTGGTATGTATGGGCCTTCAAGCAATACTGTAGTTTACAGGGGTGTAATTAAACCTAATCCTGGAGAAAATGTCCAAAGGTAAACAAAGGCACTCCAAAGTGAGAACCAGAACAAAAAGTATGAGGAAGAGGAGAAGAATTATCCTTCAGCCTCGGCAGTCAAGCAAAGCCCTGCCAAAGTAAGCCAGCCAGATCTTATTTAATTTGTGCTCAGAGTTTTTGTTTTGCAACTTTGTCCAGCCTTTGCTAATGGCTGGATCAGTAGCTGGGGTGAAGTCTTTACAGATACAAGGGCTTGGAGGAAAAGACTGAATGGGAATGAGTCGTGAATCTTAACCACACTGGCCCTGTTTGGATCACAGCTCCTACTGTTCCTACATTGGCAGTTGTGGTCCAACATAGCAGGGGACAGCTGCTTCCCCTGATGAGAACCTTTTAAGATTTCCATCTGACATTGTCTCTGGCAGGCCTCCGGTTTTGCCCTGTGCTCCAAGTCAGCCAGTTTGCTCCCATCCCTTCGGTCTTCTGAGCCTCGTGCAAGCGGCCAAACCTTTGCTGACCACTGCATTGTATCTATATGGCTGGTGTCAGAAAAATGTTGCACGGGTAAGTTTACTTAAGCTACCTTTCAATCTCTTTTCAGTACAGACTAAATTTGCAGAGCAGCTGACTGTAGTCAAACAGCAATTACAACTTTATAAAAAATCTTGATAGTGAATTAAGAGGTAGAATTTTCTTTCAGTCTTTTAAACCTTTAAAAGGGCAGATAACTACGTCTTCCCCACCGGACCTGTGAAACCTGAGGAAAAAAAGTTTTTTTTTTCCTAATTTATCCAGTATCTTCTAAGGCCTTCATATCGTTAGCCGTGCCCGTTTAGAAAGTGCCTGAGAGACATTTAGTCCTCAGTGGAAAGTAAAAATAACATTTCTGGTCCTTGCTGCTTCCATGGACAAGTGCTACCTGCCGTGCAAGAACAGGAGGTCAAATCCTCACCTCGTGCATCAAAAGCCCTTGGTAGCCGGGCTGCAAAGGATCCCTGCAGTCAGAACAGGCCCCCCTAAGTTAGGCAGATGAATTGTTGTGAATTGCCCAGAAATAAAATAAATACATAAAAATTGTGTGTTAAAATATCTGGAAGGGACCAGCAACGTGCAGAATGGCTCTGACCATTCCAGCAACAAGCAAAGAGTGTTCTTGGTGCTGGGGCCCTGATGGTGGAACACTGTTCCCTGTGGTGCTAACATCACAAGATACAATAATGAAAGCCAGTGTGGGACTCCAGTCCCTGACCAAACACCTCTCCCAGCCTGAATCTACCCGGGCACTTCCATCTATATCTGCAGCCTTATAAAGCACCCAGAGAGCTTTGCCTATTGGAGGGTATAGAAATGTGAGACATGAAAGCGAAGTATGCAATGTCGTCTTCATCACACGTTTTAAAGTGCATCCTTAAGAGCTTGCTTGCCTAGGTACGAGAGATGCTCAGAGCCCCTTTACTGCCTTGGGAGGGATTCTGGAGTTCTGTTGACAAGCTAGGTAATAAGACATCTATTCTTACCAGGTGCGGCATGTGGTGTTGGGCTTACGTTCAGTTCTTGAGGAATCCAGGTCTATGGTTTCTTCCTGTCCTCCCCAGTTTTTTCAAATCGTCAAGAATGCAGCTTTTCCATCGTCTGTATATCTGCGAGAACTGCATGCACTCAGGGAGCGGCTGGAAAAGCTGGAAATAGAATTCGCCAGGTTACAATCCGCGGTGCAGGTTGGTCATGCCTTGCAGACTGTGTAGCAATAGGGCTTCTCTGCAACTTTTATATTGAGGATGAGAGGCATGTAGCCCATGAGAAAGCAGAGTCCTGTTCTCTGCCTGGTGTCCACAGCATCCCCCATTTCAGCCTGGGGCTGTATTCCATCTTGGGGAAGCTCTCAGGGCCATATTCCAGTTTTGGCAGAGCCAAAAGATTGGACCAGAAATACTACCCTATTAAAGCTCATTGTCTGTAACAAAGCTTATTTAGAATTGGGATGGAAACACTGCATGGAAGGCAGGAAACCCCCAATAGTCAGTGGTCAGAGGAAAAGGCGGTCAAGCCAGGACAAGGATTTGTCAGCATTGAGGGACCCCCAGAGAGTCTGAGCTGCTGCTGCTGAGGTTTCTCTTTCATGCTGTGAACTAACGCTCCTCTCCTTACGGACAGAAGGGTACTGTCGCTCCTTCCGTGGAAAAGCCAGCTTTTCAAAGTTCAGAGAATCCGGTGCCGGCAATCCCTGCGCACACACAGTGTCCCTGCATGGTGCAAGGAGCGTTGCCTTCACAGCAGCCGGGGGCTCCTGCTGCACCGCCACCGCCACCACCCCCTCCACCACTCCCACCGCCACCCCCTCTGCCAGCACCTCTCTGCCTCAAAAGGACTGGTGGCATTCAGAAGCAGGTAACCTGTTTTGAACTAGTTTGTGCTGGGAGTTCCCTTTCATTCTTCAAATGAAGATATGCTGCTCTTGTCCCCACACGCCCTGGTATCTCCCTTGTTGCCTGTTCAAGTTTCTAGCTCCTATTGTTTGGTGAGGTGTACTGGATCCAGGGCTTGCAGGGTCAAAGCCCTGGGGACTTTCTGTTCTCAAAGATAGGGAACAAAAGCCAGGGTGGCGTAGTGGTTAAGAGCATGGGACTGGGACTCAGGCGATCCGGGTTCGAGTCCCCGCTCGGCCATGGAGCCCACTGGGTGACTCTGGGACAGTCACAGACTCTCAGCCCAACCTACCTCACAGGGTGGTTGTTGTGGGGATAAGATGGAGGAGGAGAATGATGTCAGCTGCCTTGAGCCCTTTGTAGGAAAAAGGCGCAGGATATAAATCGGAAAAAAAAAATATGGAGGCTTATACCTATGTGCATATGCATATTTTTCAAGCCAGCCTTTTTGAATCTGCTGATTGCGTTCAGACAACATGAGAAACCACAGTCAAGGCTTGACTGTCGGTGGTTGTTACTGAAACACGGGCTATCATGTCTGTTTGAACCCAGCTGCACTAATAAGCCACAAACAACCCAAGAAAATGGATTCTGAACAAAGCTTTTTTTCTGCCCTTCCATGCTCCTCCTTGAATTTAGGCTTCTTCGTTAATAAGGGATGTACCCATGCAAATAACACTCCGGGATCTCCAGAATGTAAAACTGAGAAAGGCACAAGGTGGCGTGAGAACAGACAAGGTAATGCTGAAGAGGCGCCTTCGGGGCCTTTTGAGCTGACTGTGGGTTGGGGCCCCTTTGTCCTCCTTCCTGCTGGTATTTCTGATTTCAGACCAGAGGATACCAGGAAGGATTTCCAAGAGTCAAGGGGAAATTTCGGCCCCAACATTCTTGCTGCAGCCATGTCCTTTTCGCTTTTATACTCTTTCAGCTTCAGACAGGATCGCCAAGCGAGAGGCACAAAGTATTCGTTACTCCTGCAGATTTGCAAAGCGTCAGCCTGAAATGCAAAACTCCACGACCTCCTGCTTCTGTGAAGCATCATTTAATGTGAGGCACTTTCTCTGATCGTTGCACAAGTTGCTGCTCAGAGCAGCCTGTGGGCCACGATCCTAGGCCTATTTAGGCAGTAGAACATCCGATAGCCGAGCTGGTTGGGCGATGCAGGGAGGTATGGCGGTACTTCTGTCAAAGAATGTATAGGATTGCACTCTTTAATTTTAGGATTTGCACTCTTTTTACACTTTCCCCCCTTCCTTTAGCTCTCCCAGCAGGAATGGCATAGATTTCCGAAAACACCTGAAAAAGGTTGCAATTGAGAGGTAATGTTTTATCTGCTTTGCCTTGTGGGTGTTTTTCGGCTGGCATGGGAAGGTTCCATTTCCCCCCCCTCATTTTAGTCAGAAAACAATCCCTGACCCAGACACAGAGTGGCAAGAAGAAATAGGGCCTTTCCCAGTGGCGTCACCCAGTTGCGGAATGATCTTCCCTCTGAGCCCTGCTTAACGAAGCACTAGCACCCTTTTGGCACCAGGTTAGCTTAAATCTGCACTCTTTTCCCAGGCATTTAATGGTGTGTGATGAGGCTGCCAGCTGTTCTAACAGGCCTTGGCCTTTAATTGAATTGTTTTAGTTGTTAAAACATAAATGTTTGTATGTTGGAATTTTAGGCTGCATCTTATTCTGTTTGCCTTTCCGTATCATTTATTTATATTTATTTATAGCATTTTTATGCTGCCCCATCGCAGAAAGCCTCGGGGCGGCTTACAGAAAAGATAAACAACATAAGATAGAATAACATTAAAAATTCGGAGCATCTTGGCAATAGTTTAAAACCAATAAATAAAAACAACGATTAATAATTAAAATATTGTTTAAATAAAAAGGTCTTGGCCTGGCGCCAAAAAACAAATAACGATGGCACCAGGCGGACCTCTCTGGGGAGCGCATTCCATAGATGGGGCACCACCACAGAGAAGGCCCTCCTCCAGGTACTCACCCTCCTAATATCCTTCACTGAGGGCTCTCGGGGAAGGGCCTCCTCTGCCGATCTCAGGGGGTGGGAGGGCATATATGGACGCAAGCACTCCTTTAGATGACCAGGTCCCAAGCCATTGAGGGCTTTATAGGTGATAACCAACACCTTGAATTAGGCCCGGACTTCAATGGGGATCCAGTGAAGCTGACGGAGGACTGGGGTTATATGAGAACAATGCTCAGTCCCCATCAGCAACCTGGCAGCTCTGTTTTGCACCAACTGAAGTATCCGGACCGTCTTCAAGGGCAGCCCCACGTAGAGCGCATTGCAGAAGTCTAATCGGGAAGTTACCAATGCGTGTGTCGCAGTCGTTCTCCAGGTAGGGATGCAGCTGATGGATCAGCCGAAGCTGAAGGAAGGCGCTCCTCGCCACCGCTGTTACTTGAGCTTCTAATGACAGCTCTGGGTCGAGGAGCACTCCCAAGCTGCGAACCCTGTCCCTAAGAGGGAGTGCAACCCCATTCAGGACAAGGTCCAGGTCCCCCATCCCGAAGCCCGACCCACCTACCAACAGGACCTCCGTCTTGTCTGGATTGAGCCTCAGTTTATTGGCCCTCATCCAGCCCATTACCTCGGCCAGGCACCGGTTCAGCACAGCCACTGCCTCACCTGGATTGGTGGAGAACGAGAGGTAGAGCTGGGTATCATCAGCGTACTGATGATTCTGCAGCCCACACCTCCTGATGATCTCTCCCAGCTGTTTCATGTAGATGTTGAATAGCAAGAGGGACAAAATGGACCCCTGTGGAACTCCATGGCATGGCAGCCATGGCGCAGAGCCATAGTCCCCAGCACCACCTTCTGGAATTGGCCATTGAGATAGGAGTGGAACCACTGCAAAGCAGTGCCTCCAACTCCCAATCCCGCAAGCCTATCCAGGATACCATGGTCGATGGTATCGAAAGCCACTGAGAGGTCCAGGAGAACCAACAGGGACGCACTCCCCCCGTCTCTCTCCCTGCACAGGTCATCATACAGGGCGACCAAGGCAGATTCAGTACCGTACCCAGGTCTGAAGCCGGACTGAAATGGGTCCAGATAATCGGTTTCATCCAAGAGTGCTTGGAGCTGTCCCACCACCACCCGCTCTAACACCTTGCCCAAGAACAGGATGTTGGCCACCGGTCTATAATTGGCAGCCATTTCTGGATCCAGGGATGCCTTCTTTAGGACTGGCCGGACTACCGCCTCCTTTAAAAGGGCAGGTACCCGGCCGTCCCTTAGAGAGGCGTTGACAGCCTCCAGGATCCAGGTCTCAATCCCGTCCTTGGCTTTCTTGAGTAGCCAAGATGGGCAAGGCTCCAGTAAGCAGGTGGTAGGACGTACTTGTCCAAGCACCTTGTCCACATCATCAGGCCGCAGCAACTGAAACTCATCCATAAATTGTGGACCAGACGGCAACATTGGCACCTCCCCAGTAGAATCTGATTCACTAGTGGAGTCCAGCTCGTGACGAATCTGAGCGATTTCCTCCCTGAAATGCTTGGTGAAGTTGTCACAGCGGGCCATTGAGGGTGGCACGAGATCTTTCTTTGGGCCTGGGTGTACCAGCCCCTGTACCACCCGAAAGAGCTCCGCTGGACGGCATTGTGAGGATGCAATGGAAGCAGAGAAGAATGTCTTCTTCGCCACCCTCACCGCCACAGCATAGGCCCGATAATGGGCTCTTAAGTGTGTTCAGTCAGATTCATCCCGTGATCCCCTCCACCTACGCTCTAGACGTCTCCCAACCTGCTTCATTGCCCGTAGTTCAGGTGTATACCAGGGGGATGAACAGGCTCTGCCAGGTGGGAGAGGACGCTTAGGAGTGATCGTGTCAATAGCCCTGGTCATTTCCCCATTCCAAAGTTCAACCAAGGCATCGACAGGAGCACCAGCCTTACCAACTGGGAAATCCCCCAGGGCCTTCAGGAATCCATCGGGTCACATGAGACGAGCCTGAAGGCTGTAAGAGCCTTTTCTGCCATGCAAGTGCAGCCTAAGAAACCTTCCTATGTTTAGTGCTTGGAGTATTTTATTTTGTGTCTGGTTTTAATTTTGCTTTAGGTGCTAGATATATTTATTATTCACTGCATGTTTTAACATGGTTCAATTCTGTTCTTACTTTTTGGTTTAATGTTTATATTTCATGCTTTTTTAACAGACACAGCCCAGGGAACTTCAGAAACTGGTTGGCTTAAAAAGACAGGAAGGACAGAGTCCTATGTATATTTGGACAGAACATGTCATGTGTGCATAAGATTGCACACGTAGGCACATGAAGCAAATGTCTTGCTGCCTCAGTGAGAAATGTGTGTCTTTCCCACCCCTGCAGGAGCCCAGGTGGAACCCCGTTAACCAACAAAGAGAACACGGAGACTGGTACGGGGCTGACCCCAATTATGACACAGGCTTTGCGACGCAAGTTCCAGGTAAGGCCAGCTACCGCCATACATAAGCACGCTATGCCCCACTCCGCAGTACAGGAAGCTGATTTTTCCATCTCTTGCATTCTTTCCCTTTGGAACAGCTCGCTCATCCAAAGAGCCCCTCGCCAGCACATGTACCAGCAGGGGGCAGCTTTTGAGGAGGAAAGGTAGCACCAACGTCTCCTGGCAAGGCAAAGTTCCCCAAGTTGCTTGGCTGGATGCAACTCGGAAAGAAGCTGTTCGAGGTGAGAGAGACCATGGCGGGATCTGGAGAGAAATCGGTTTGGCAATTCTTTAGAGCAGCCTTCGTCTGTTTGGCACCTTCCAGATGGGTTGGACTACTACTCCCAGCATCCCCTGCCTAAGGCACCAACTAGACAGAGTCTGTTTTGCAGCGAAGCTCTCCTTAAAGGAAAGCAGCCAAGAAGAGAATGGTGCCCATCTTTCTTCCCCTTACCTTGCCCTTTAATTTCTATACTTTGTTACTGGCAGCATGAAAACACAGCATTCCTTTCTGCTCCTTCCTAATGAGAAGGGCACTGAACCCCACCTATAGTGGGAACTGGGTGTCCTGAACCTTTCTTAGTGGCATTTGTCTGAGTGTTGCATTTTTACTGAATTTGAATGTCTCTTTAAAAAAGGAAGTTCGCTGGTTTAAAAAAAGACTTTTTTGAAGGCACTGTTCATACAATGGCCAAAGGGCGCGTGTGTTTGGGGGGAGGGGGTTGTTAAGGATCTGGAAGAGGTAGTGATCACTCTTCACATTTTACATGGCACAAGAATGTCCGTACTGATTTGTGTGAGATCTCCCAAGGGAGAAATCTTTTTGCAGTCTCCTGGAGGGCAAGGATGAGGGACAGTGTACTTGGAAGAAGGGCTGCTGTGCTTGGGTATCACCGGATCCTGGTGTTCGGCTATTGTCTGAAAATTCAGGCTTTCAGCTTCTGGTTCTGAGACCTTGACACAGAATGACCCCTTCCTATGCCCTTGTTCCCAACTGTGCTTCCTCTAGCTTTCCCTAAACTAGTGCCATCTGAATCCTTTGGATTGCAATGTCCATCATCCTTCCACAAGGAAGGTGCCAGCTTGAGGAAAGCAGGATTAGTATGAAATAAGTTGTCTTATTTCCTAGCATAGCTTTGAAATGTGTGAACTTGCATATTAAGTATACTGTTTACAACATGTGCTGTTCAAGAAAGCAGGCTCTCTGTGTAAGCCTGTGGCTTGAACAGTATGTCTGCTGTGCTGAGAGCACGGTGATGAGAGCTGTTGTAGGCTCTGTTGAGGGTGGCAAAAAGCAGGTCTCCAGGCATTTTGGATTTCAGTGTCCAGAGGGCCCTGCCAGCGCGGCTGGTGGTCAAGGCTGCCACAAGCAGACGTCCACTTGGAGATCAGCTTTCTGCTCATCTCTGGCCTCTGGCATTCAGACGTGTGTCCAGTCAGGCTGGGTTTTGAAGCATTTACCAATGAATTGATGGTAGAACTGGGGAGCGGGGCTATTTAGTGAAGACTCGGGTGGCAACAGCGGCTGACTGTGGCCCACGGAGTTCTGTCAGGAAGGCGCTGCCTCTTGAGTCTGGAGGTTCAAATGTACTAAATTACAGAGTACATTTTACCAGACACAGGAAGGGGGCTTGGGCACTTTAGTCTTCTCCTGTCGTTAACGGTTTTTCCTACCCCATATCGAGCTGTGAGCTGCTCAAAGAGCGCTCAAATTCAGATACTCAAGCGTTGCAGGGGAAGCATTCTGTACCTGATACTTTCTTTCCCCACCAAGCACTGGCCTACCCAGTTTTGGGAAAACAGCAGCTCAAACACCCGTCCTCTCCCTAGTGGTGCTGAACTGCACAAACTTTGTTTCCCTTTTTGGGTGGGTGCACGGACTTACGTGTTCTGCTCTGTGTGTGTACTCACTCCATGCAGCCCGCATCCGCTGTCACACACAATTGGTCCCAACCCCGGCCTGGTTTTGTCTAGACCGTTTTGGGCTACACCTTGCAGGATTCTTGACCAATGTGAGATCAAGAGGCCTCCATCTTCTCACAGAGGGATGCTTCCTGTGAATCATGTGGCCACAGGCCTGCCAGATTAAGGAAGTGCTGCTTTAAACTGCTGTCTCTGCAACGGGTCCCACCACAGAAAAGATGAACTTGCATCCTGTTTAGGATGTGTCACAGTGTGATGTTACCAATTCACTGCTTTAAAAAGGTTGTGTGTGCATACACTGTAATACTCATTATATTTCTTATCCATAACTAATTATTATTGCTGTTCGTATCCATGTCAGTTTAGTGACCCCTAAAAATGTTTATATCAGAAACAATTGCTTCTGTATTGACCGTATGCCATATACTGGAACAAATTGAAAGCATTTGTAATACATTGAAAGCAATGCTGTAATACAGTATGGATTTGACAAGTCTGTTGGTGTTGTTTTTTAATTAAACTGACACAATAGGGTGCCTTGAATTTGCTTGTTCTGGACTCATTTTCTCCATGTATGAGCAAGATGGTAGCTGCCATCTTGTTCAGGACAGAGGGTTTTGATAACTACCACTAATTGTGTAATCTGTAAAGGAATTGTGCATGGTTGTCTTATTCTCACGCTGTTAATGAAACCACCTGCAACTGCACCCAAGGGTGAGGGTGTCAGGGAAATGGCCCAGTTGGTGTAACGCACTGGAGCTTAGAACGGATTGTTGAACATGAGAGGATCGCAGCATGCACCTGGAGCCATATTGAATATGCAAACCCACCCACTGCAAAGTTGTGTTGTGTGAAATTCCTTTAAAATTCGGACCAAAGTGTGACATCCAGAGTGGACATTGCCCCCCCCCCCAAAATAGCACTGAAGTCCCCAGCCTCCGCTGAATAAAGCCCTATGCAGCACAGGCCTGCTGCACTGTTCTACCTAGGTCATAGTCACAGAAGCAGGAACCAGAAGAACCAGTCAAACAGCAAGTTTTTTTGGTGATGTGCAAAAAAATGTCTCCAGCTTACAGCAATGCTATGACTAATCGTCCTCCAAAATGCCCTGTCCCTGACGGTCTGGCTCAGCTCTTGGACATGCCAGGCTGGGGCTCCCTTTGAGGAACTGACCAGTCCCAGAACGGTTCTTCCCCTTCTGCCTTCGACTTTTCCTGACACGATTGTAATGTTTCCTCAAAAGGAAGCCGCTGGGTTTCATTTGGCATATTGGATTATTTAATTCCTGTCTATGCCGCCCCATAACCCGAAGGGTCATTCGTTGTTGCACGTGCTTTATTCAACGAATGGAGAGAGAAGAGGGACGGAGGGCAGCCCGCAGTGGGCTTCAGGAAGCCGACTGAGCATGCGCGAGATTCGATGCCTCCTTTTTCTCCTCCCTCCCTTTATAGAATAGACTTTTCAAATGAGATCGCACAATGGTGGCCAGCTTCTGGGTTTCTTTACACTCCAAATTTTTGAATCCTAGATAGAGGAGAGACATTCTATCCTAATCGGAAGTGATGGAGGAAGCCAAGATTTTAATGTAACTGGATGCGCAAGTGACCGCCTCTGACTCGCTGGACAGTTTTATTTGGCTGAAGAGGCAGGAACGGTACCGAAAAGATGCCGGGTTCGGGCGCACAGAACAAAGGGAAACGCACACATTGCAGGACTAACCCGTTTCTGTCTTTGCATTGAATGGCGCCCTGACACACTGATGCGTCCCGTACCACTTCCATTTTTCATGCATCTGCAGCTCTGGCGAGCGACTTCGGTGAGCCATTTTTCTAGCCTCGCCTTGCGCAGAATCGCGCTCGGGCGGTGGAAGAAATAACCAGATGGAAACCGTCCTCGGCAAATCAGAGGGACGCACGGACGCGCGCGGCAGCCGCTCTTCACCTTTCCTAGCTCTACGGCCGCAAAAGGACGCCAGGCGCGCTCCGCGGCGCCGCGGTTGGAGCGGATTGGCTGCTCGCGCCGCCCCGAGGCGGGCGGCCTGTCCCGGCGCCTGCGCGGGGCCCCTTTCCGCCCGCCTCGGGCGCTTGCGGCAGCGAGCCTAGCGCGGAGACGCGCCCGCTCGCACCGGCGGCGAGGATGGTGGGCGCCACCGCGGCGCAAGGCCCCGTGGGCTTGCACGAGCTGCTGCTGGCCGGGGTGGAGGGCGGCGGCGCGAGCACGGCCCCCGCCGCGACTACCGCCGCCCCCGCCCCCGCCGCCGCGACTGCTGCCGCCGGCACGACTGCCGCCACCGCGCCCGGCAGCGGCGGCAACGCCGGACCGCGGGGGGCGACGCCCGGGGAAGACGAGGAGGTGTGCGTGGTGGGCATCTTCGGCAAGACCGCCTTGCAGCTCAGCTCGGAGAAGGCGGCCTTGGTGAACACGGTGTGCGACCGGCAAGTCTTCCCTCTCTTCCAGCGGGACGGAGAGGCCAGAACATCGGCCGGAGGCGGCGGCGGCGGCGGCGGCGGTAGCGGAGGTGTAGATCCAGCAGCCGATTCTTCCCCCCCTCCTTCCCCCACCTCTGTTTCTTCCTCCTCTTCCTCCTCCTCCTCCTCCTCTTCCTCCTCCACCTCCTCCTCCGCCTTCTCTACTTCCTCTGCCTGCCAAGGCGACTACAACCTCCTGCAAGCCTACTATAGCCAGGAATGCAAAGTGCTCTACCTGGTGCTCACATCCATCTGTGACAGCCACCAGCTGCTGCAGGCGTGCAAAGACCTGGATGCCATGGGAGACGCCCGGGGGGGCCCTGGCGGCCCCGGGGTTCACTCGGCCCAGGGCAGCTCCCTGATGCCCCACGCCGAGGCCCACGAGTTCTGGAAGCACCAGGAGAAACTGCACTGCCTGAGCCTGCTCTACCTCTTTTCCGTCTGCCACATCCTGCTGATGGTGCACCCCACCTGCTCCTTCGACATCACCTACGACCGCGTCTTCCGGGCCCTGGACGGTCTGCGCCAGAAGGTCCTGCCCTCCCTCAAGGCGGCTATCAAGGACTGTCCCGTGGGCAAAGACTGGAAGCTCAACTGCCGCCCGTGCCCTCCGCGGCTCCTCTTCCTTTTCCACCTCAACGGGGCCCTGAAAGTCGAGCCCCCGCCAGGCCGGGGGCAGGAGCTGTGCAGCCACCCGGAGAAACCTCCCCCCAAGAAGCACTCCCCCAAGCGGCGGCTGCAGCATGCCTTGGAGGACCAAATCTACCGCATCTTCCGCAAGAGCCGTGTGCTGACCAACCAGAGCATCAACTGCCTCTTCACCGTTCCGGCCAACCAGGCCTTTGTCTACATTGTGGCTGGCGGGCCCCAGGAAGGCGATGACCCCCTGGCAGTGCTGCTGGACCAGCTGCGGGGCAACTGCACCCGCCGTGAGGCAGAGTCCTCCTTGACGCCCGCCCTGGCGGGGCCGAGGCGCTACCAGCTGATGCGGCACGGGCGGCAGCAGCTCTCCTTCCAGGCAGAGAGCAGCAGCAGCGTCAGCTCCTCGGGCCAGCTGGTGGACTGCACCTTGAAGGAGTTCCTCTTCCAGCACGTGGAGCTGGTCCTTGGCAAGAAGGGCTTTGACGACAGCGTGGGCCGGAATCCGCAGCCCTCCCACTTCGAGCTGCCCACCTACCAGAAGTGGGTGGCCACCGCACTGAAGCTTTACGAGGTGGCCCTCGAGGGCAAAGAAGGGGACGCCTCCTCCCTCACTGGGGAGCTGACCTCCAAGATTATGAGCAGCATGAAGGTCCTGGAGGGCTACCTTGACATCGACACCAAGTTCTCGGAAAACCGCTGCCAGAAGGCCCTGCCCCTGGCCCACAGCGCCTACCAGTCCAACCTGCCGCACAACTACACCATGACGGTGCACAAGAACCAGCTGGCCCAGGCCTTGCGGGTGTACAGCCAGCACGCCCGGGGCCCAGCCTTCCACAAGTACGCCCTCCAGCTCCACGAGGACTGCTACAAGTTCTGGAGCAACGGGCACCAGCTGTGCGAGGAGAGGAGCTTGACTGACCAGCACTGTGTCCATAAATTCCACTTGCTCCCCAAGTCAGGTAGGTTTATGCTGCTCTGTGCTGGGAAATGTGCGGGGAAACAGTGCCCTGCGGTCCAGTAGCACGTTATGTGCACATGCCTCACTGAATGTTATGCAGAAGATGGTTCTTTGCCTGTTTTGTTGCTGCTGCTGTCCTTGGACGATCACTTTACATTTCTAGTCCTCTTTGACCTTCATAATAATATGCAGTCAGCATCTGTTAGATTATAAACATCCAGAGTGTTTGAGGGACTAAAGATGGAACATCTAGTGTGGTGTATCTTTTTACCATTTGAGAACTGAATAATGTACTTGTATATCTATGTCTGTTTGGGTTCTTAAATATGCCTTCTCCTGAAAGCTCGAAGTGAGTATAAAATATTTGGGATAATAACCAGGGCTTGCATCACACCCAGAAGATAGACTTGGTCTTGTTGAATGATTGCCACATGTTTTCTCAAGGGAGTAAAAGCATGCTCGTGCTCTCTTTTAAGTTGTGGGGGAAGGAAGTTGAGATTCCCATGATGGTGATGGTGATGATATTCATCTTTTAAAGTAGTAAAATCGGTGTGCTTTGATGGCTTTTTTTTCAGGGGAGAAGCCCGAACCAGACAGGAACCCTCCAGTGCTGTATCATAACAGCCGGGCTCGCTGCACTAGTGCCTGCAATTGTGGCAGAAAACAGGCTCCCCGAGATGACCCTTTCGACATCAAAGCGGCCAATTACGACTTCTACCAGGTGATCACTGCCAACTGTCCCAAAGACTGCAGCACCTTAGCTAAATAGCTGAGCCTCTGTTGGTCACAAAATAAAAGCGTTGCTTGCACTTTTTGGACCAGATTGTACTAAGACCGGACACTGCATACGAAAAAAAATCAGGTGCACTTTGGAACAGGAAAAACTGCTGCAGTTCCCAGGATGCTCTAGCTAGCCATGCTCTTGGGGGCTAGGTGGGATTTCTGGGACCTTATTTCCATCTAAATGTTAATACATTTGCACCCTGAATAAATAAATATATTAAAACTTTTATAAGTTGTATTCTAAAAAAAAAAGTTTGATGAAAGCTCTGCAAAATCATTTTGATCAGTACACGAAATAACAAGAAATATTTATGTTGGAGGGGTGCAATCTGTGTTTGTGAGAGAGGATTTCTGTCCATTATTAAAACATTGCAAGGTGCAATCCTGCTACCCTGCTACCTATAGTTTATCACTATAGAATGGGGTCTGTAGGAATCTTGCAGTCTCCAGGAGTCTTGCAGCCCACATCCTTGGGTGCCATCCAATGGAACACGCAGGTGCAAGCAGGGAGAGGAAGAAAAGCTTCCAGGGGTCTTGTTGCTAGGGGCTCTAGTGAGTTTGGGCCCTGGACTGCTGCCCAGCCAGGCCCAGCCAGGCCAGGCCCTGATGCCAGCAACCTGTTCTGACACTCCTTCCTATCCTGTTTTTCCGCAGCTCCTGGAAGAGAAGTGTTGCGGGAAGCTGGACCATATCAATTTCCCCGTGTTCCAGCCAAGCACACCAGACCCGGCGCCAGCCAAGAATGAGGCATCATCCAGCCCTCCAGAAGGCGAAGCTGAGAAACTGAAGGAGAAGGAGCCACAGACTCAAGGGGAGAGCACCAGCTTGAGTCTTGCTCTCAGTCTGGGCCAGTCCACAGACAGCCTGGGGACCTACCCAGCTGACCCACAAGGTGGAGGGAACAACACAGAGGCTCACGGGCAGGCAGTGGAATCCAAAAGCGAGAAGCGGCCAAGCTTGGTGGACCGCCAAGCCTCGACAGTTGAGTACTTGCCTGGGATGCTTCATTCGAATTGTCCCAAGGGGCTCCTGCCCAAATTCTCCAGCTGGTCCCTGGTCAAGCTCGGCCCGGCCAAGGCATACAACTTCCACACTGGCTTAGACCAGCAGGGTTTCATCCTAGGCACGAACTATTTAATGCCTTGGGACGTGGTCATCCGGACACGGACAGACGAGGAGGGTGACCTGGACACCAATTCCTGGCCAGCACCCAACAAGGCCATCCCCGGGAAGAGAAGTTCAGTGGTCATGGGGAGAGGGCGGCGACGAGATGATGTGGCCCGGGCCTTCGTGGGATTCGAGTACGAGGATGCTCGTGGCCGGCGGTTCATGTGCTCGGGGCCCGAGAAAGTCATGAAGGTGATGGGCGGGGGGCCGAAGGAATCGGCCCTCAAGGCCCTCAATTCTGATATGCCTCTCTACATCCTGTCATCCAATCCGGGGCGAGGCCTGAAGCCCCACTATGCTCAGCTAATGAGGCTCTTCGTGGTGGTCCCAGATGCTCCACTTCAGATAATACTAACACCACAGGTGAGAATTCAGGGCTGTCACTAAGGCCTTTGGGGAGAGATTCACCAGTAACTTCTTCTCAATGAACCGTGTGAATTCTTTGCCGTTTAAAGATCTTTCGCTTATTTTCTCATGTAAGTATTTTTATGCCGCTGCTCAGTCATAGCAGCTCCTGGAGTGGCTTACATAGCACCAGTAAAAGTCCCTGCCCTGCAGGGTTACCATCGAAGACATAGCACAAGAAAAAACAGGTGAGGAGGGAAGAGGTATAAAAAATACAGGGCTGCTGGAATGGGCCTGTACTTTCTGTCCTTTGGCCCATTCTGCTAGAATCCAGAACTGCAGGTGTGGTGCTTAGTGTGTTGGAGTGACATTCAGGAGATCTCATTCTAGTCCCCGCTTGGCCATGAAGCTCACCGGGTAACTTTGGGCCAGTTCCTGACTCTCACTCTAGCCTACTTCACAGGGTTGTTGGGTGGATAAAAGGGAGAGGAGGAAGGCATTCTGCTCCTTGCAAGAAGAAAAGAGGTGGGATATACATGCAGTAATAATGACATCAACATGAGTCATCTGGAGCCAGATATTCTTTCTGGCAAGAAGGGGAAAGTGAGCTCAGTTTACAGGGCCAAGTTGGTCAACGCTTTGGCTTGGTAGTATTTCTGGATAGCAGGGGCTGCAGCCTCTCCATAGCCCTCGCAAGGCAGTGCATCCTTTGGAGAAGGTGGGCAGCAGACGTGCTCTGATGATTGTTTCCTTTCGACCCCTAGATTCAGCCAGGGCCGCCTCCATGCCCGGTGTTTTACCCTGAGAAACAAGAGATCACGCTCCCTCCTGACGGACTCTGGGTCCTTCGGTTTCCTTACGCCTACGTGACGGAACGGGGGCCTTGTTTCCCTCCCAAGGAAAACCAGCAGCTGATGAGTTACAAGGTGGTTCGAGGAATACTAAAAGCTGTAGTACAGTAGGACGTTTTGGAACTTGCTGTTGAAATTCTTTCATTTCTCTTGACTTCCCTCCCCCGTCCCCTACCAAATTTGAATGATGGATTTTGATTACAAAGAGCTGACAATTTGACAGCAATCACTGTTTCAATTTTTCTCAAGCCACTGCCCATAAAGCCCTCGGTATTGAAACTGTACATGATGTGCCGAGTCCTATCAATGATGGAAAGTAGGTTAGCACTGGGGCGACCTTTAAGTTCTGGCCTCCACAGGGCTATGGATCCAAATGAAGAAAGGGGAAAATAAAGCATAAAAGCTTACCTTCTGTTAAATCATTACTGTTCTCTGTTGCTTGTATACAAGTGGAACGTGCCCCAAAAGAATGCAGGAATGTTTCTGTTCACAGTGCCAGGCAGGCCTTCTTCCGGTCAAAGGGCTCCGGCAGGTCAATTCATCATCACCCTTGCCTCTTAGCTCTCCATTTGGCTTTTCAAACAAACACTCAGCATTCCATGGTTCTGAATCTGTTTGGCTATTTTGTGCGCAGGAGGGAGAGTGTCACATTTTGGGGTTCCCACCAACATAAGCTGTTTTCTCCAGTGGCCCCTTTTCTGCCCCGTTTCAGTCAGCACACAGCATCTGAATTTGCTGTTAAAGGGAGTGATGATATAATGAAAGAGAATGGTCTGAAAAAGAAGTAAGATGTGTTGCATTAAAGTCCCACTTTGAGTACTGTTGTTTAATATTTGTATCCTGCTCTATTAACCAGATATACATTTCTATAAGGCGGCACATTACAAAAAGGGGAAGCACTGCAAAAGTTAAAATATAGCACCAAAGTATTTTTGTAAGAACCATAAAAAGTAGCACTGCCACTACCAAGAAGGCCCTGTCATTGTGTCTAGTTACTCAGTCACTTATTGTAATGGCTTAGAAAGTAGGACCTCTAAAGCCATCTTAAACCCAGCCCAGTTACACTAGAATCAGTATTCTGAAAGTCGGAGAGATTTGGAGCAGCTTAGGTGAATCTTCTCTTGAGAACTAACAGACCCAGGGTTGTGAACAGACTTCTAGAAGGCACATAGAAAGGGATGGTGGCATGCATGCAGGCAAGGGTCTGTGCTACATATTTGAACCGAGGGGCCCAAATTAGATGCTTCAACGCATAAGCACAATTGTGGAGACTGGAGGGATTACACAGTTGTGAAGGAGAAGGCAACCTGCACATGCTTAGAAGCACTTTGTGCCCAAATTTATCCCTGGTTTTCAGAAATAGATTCCAACTTTGATCCCTTAGAAATGAAAGACTAAATATACTGGGATTTGGTTTTTTACTTGTGTTGCAGAATGATCCCATTCCTGTGTTAATTCACTACTTAGCTCTTAAACACACTATCACAAAATAGAGACAAGAAAAAGTCCTACAATCCCAATATTCCCCTGCCAGATGGGAGTTTTAGGCCTTCTCTGCTGTCTAAATATGCATTGGATTGCATATTTAGACCCTGGATGCACTTTGACCTTGGAGTCTCTGGGTTAAAAGCCTGAAAGTGTCCTCTGCACATGTTCAGAGACACAGAGCCTGTGAGGTGCCAGGACTATGTGAAATGATGTATGCAACTAGATTTTTAGGTTCTCTTTATGAATCAAAAAACAAAGGAGAATCAATGCAGATAGAAGGGGGAGTATTGATATAACATAGGAAAGTCAAATAGGAGATGGCTTGGCTCCAGAAAGCAAGTCCCAGCCTTGAGTATACAAGAACTGGGCAGGCCTGTCAAGGACAAGGCATTTTGGAGGGCTACCTTTCCATAAGTCTGTGATAACTTGACAGCACGTAACTATGGCATGCCAGTTTCCTTAATGAAACCATCCTACTGTGGGATATGTATGCTTTTGGGAGCCCCGGTTATGTAAATGCTTTTTCTCCTTCAGAAAGCCATCATCCTCGTCTCAAATTGCACTTTCAATGAGACGTTAATTTTAATAACCTAAACCATGACTTGAAATTTTCAGTGTACGCCACTTAGAAATTTTACCATTCTTCGTAGTCAACAAGACAAATATTTTCCCACCTAGGCTATTTTAGAAAATTTTCGAAAAATACAACTTTGTTGTTGTTGCTAGAACACCACACCACAGCTCGCCCGTAAGAAAACAAAGGTTTGTGACCGCGTCGCCTCAGAGAGTAGTAGTTATGCCATCCCCACCGAAATGCCGGCACGTAATTGGTTGCCGCCCGGCAAATGCTTCCTAGGGATTGGTTGGACTTGCCCGTCACTCCAAAGGAGGCGGGGAGAGGACGAGCAAAGGACAGAGTGACCGTTATTTCCGTGGGCCGGGCTGTGGCGTCATAGGCACGGCCACACCCCGCGCGGCGGCTCAATCTCGTCCTCGCGCTCCTGAAGCCGCGCGCGCCACTCACCCGCTGCGACCAATCAGCGCGGCGCGCCCCAAGACGGGGGCGGAGAGAGGGCGCGCGCGGCGTCCGCCATTGGTGCCTGCGCAGCCGGAGTGGGCGGGCCCGGCGGCGCGAGGGGCGGCTTTGCTCCGCCCACCGCTTAAATCCCTTCAGTCAGAAGAGGCCGGCGAGCGGGGCGGTCGGGCTGCGGCGGCCGCTGCTTCTCCCCCACGGCTCGTCCCGCGACCATGGCAGCCGCCTTCTACCTCCTCTCCACGCTGGGCGGCTACCTCGTCGCCTCGGCCCTGCTGCTGAAATTCCCGTGCTTGCTGCACCGGCCGAAGCGCCAGCGCTTCCGATGCCGGCACATCTCGCATCGCGGCGGTGAGCAGCGGCCCGACGCCGCTTATTCTCTTTATTGTGTGCGCCTTTTCCGATGTGTGTGTATTTATATATAATATACGTCGGTACAGATGTTCTCCCACCGGTGCATTTAAAGTAAGCGTTTGTGGGGGCAGATGGTTAAGCGGGAGGGCAAAAAGGAGAAGAAAGAAAGCCTCTCCCTAGAAAAGGTGGGATTTTATGTGAGGGATTGAATGAAGATTCCTTGAACCGCTATTTCATATGATTGGCTGCCTCAAGTGCCTTTTCTTTTTTGCCGGAAACGTGGGAAATAAAATAAAACATGCATTGTTTATAAATAGATTTGCCCTTCCCCAATAACATTCTCTTCCTCGCTCCATTTATTTGTATTTAAGGAAATAATTTATATTTCCTTTGCCTTTTATTTGTTTTTAGATATGCAATTTAAGTAATTTACGTTTACGATTTTATTTGTAAATAATTTTATACCTCTGTCCATTGCATTTAAATAGGTAATTGATCTTTGTTTCCTTTTTCTTGTATTCAGATGAATTCACCTTTGTCTCCTTTTTAATTTGCATTTTTCTTTCATTTGTGTGTCTTTTATTCAAATACAAAAAAAAGGAGAGTAATATGGGAGGGGAGGGGGAAGGGCAGTTTTGTTTATGAGGGAGACACATAAAATTAATAAATAGAATTGTGGAGGGAAATATTCAGCGATGTGTATCCAGTCAAGAGATGCTCTTGGAGCAGAATTTGGGGTGGCCACACAGAGGGAAGAGAACCAGCCAATCTGAGGGGTGGCTTGCTTTTTTTCCCTTAAAGTGTGGGCCGAAGGGATCAACACAAGCTCTGAGTTACTGTGGTTTCTGTGGAGCCCCATGCAAAAGCTCTGTGAATTCACCACGATCTGCTTAAGCCCAGGTGGATCATTGCAAGGCAATGGGTAGCAATGGCCTGGCCCAAGAGAGGGGGAGAGTATTGTGGGATGGGGGCAGGGAACAAATATGGAGCAAGAGAAAGTAAACAAGATTCTGCAGGGTCAGCAGAGCAAGAGCTGGGAGAGGGAGAACATCCAATTCTGTGGAGAAGGGTGGGCAAGTGAAGATACGTATTGACTGTGCAGATGTGCCGTGATCTGTTTGCAACCGAGAGCTGACTTTTCCGGAGGGGAATAGCACTGAGGGACAGGCATGACGAACGGAGGGACAGAAGCTGCAGGGAAGGGAGCAGGGATGAGAACAACCTGCTTCTCATCCTCTCTCACATGAGAGAAGACAAGACGTGTATCGATCGCCGTGGGACTAGCACCTAGCGCATCCGATGGAGTGGGCTCTTGTCTCTGCAGCCTGATAAATCCGTTCGCCTCCAAGGTGCCACAAGGCTCTTTGTTGTGTTTGCTGAAACAGACTGAAGTCTGCATCCTCATCTCTGGGGCTGAACTGTTGTAACCCTGTGTAAATTATCCTATTTAATGTACGGGAGTGATGGTTGGGATGGCTGTGGCTTTCTCCCCCCACCCCCCGCCACAAATGACCTTGAAATCTACCTCCCTCCCTCCTCCCACAAGAAAAGGGGTGGGAATTGCTCCTTTCCTGTTCACTCCCCTGCCCCCCCCCAACAGAAAGCCACTTCAGTGGTTAACAGGTAAGGCTTGCTGTGATATATGGCAATATGCAGACTATTATTTTGTTATTTATATATTATCCTATTGTCATTATCCTAGGGATGCTTCTCTTTTCCAGCTCAGACTGCCTCCCATCCACACACAATTTCTGAAACGGGGCTAGCTTTGCTTCCTGAAGTTCACCCCATTGCATTTTGCATCCCCCTCCATCCTTTGTTTGCTTTCTTCCTCCCCACAAGCCCCTCCTTCTTGTCAACTATCTGCTTTGCTTCAGATATGAAACACATGTTTGAGATTTTGCAACCTTTCTCTCTGTTTATTTTCCTAAAGCTGTTCCCTTTCCTTTGGCTCCTCCAGTATCATATTTTGCTTCTGTCGCCCTCTGCTCTCTTGTCAACCATCCGTTCAGGTTGGGGGCGATCTCAAATTGTCGAGTGAGTTTGCACAACACAGTAATCTGGCCTGTGAATAAACCATGCAGTATGGCTTGCTTTTGGAACAACCCGTTACGTACCCAGCTGATCGTCCGACTTACCAAAGGATCCTGCCATCTGCCCCCATCAATGTTGCCTTCAGCACCTGCTCTCCCTGCACTGATCATGTCCCTTTTTATTCCTGGTTTAATTTGATTTTTTTCTGCCTTTCCACTGCTAAATGAGTGAGCAGCACTTTAGAGTGGCTCTAAAGACCCTAACCTATCAGTGGCTTATGACACTTCAGGAGGCATCTTCTTATTCTGTTCCCTTTCTATCCTGCCTTTTTTCCTCTTGCAAGGAACTCAAGGTAGGTTACATGATCCTCTTCTGTCTCTTCATTTTATCATCTCAACAACCCTTTGAGGGAGTTAGGACTGGTCACAGATTCTCAGCCTAATGCCACCAGTGAGCTTCATGGCCATGGGCAAGTGAAGACTAGAACTTATATTTTGGAACTAAGGTGCACAGTTTGTTTCTTTTTTATTCTGCTCCTATGTAAGTGCACTCCTATGGTTGCCCAAAATATAGGCATTAAGCTGGTGGAGCTCCATACAGGTTGCTTTGCACATTGGCCAGGCAAGGCTCCAGATTTTGAATAGCCAGGGAATACACCTGTGTAGAACCAGAAAGAAAAATGCAAATGGAATTGTGCACATTTATGTCCTCATTTTCGAAAGGGTAATAAGGCAGTGAGGCAGCTGGGAGTGTTTGTTTCTCTTTCCAGTTGCCCTACTGGTGGCTTCCCCCAGTATCCTCCCGGGTTTCAACAACACAGTGACCCATGAGGGGTTCACAACCACATACAACAAGTCACGGGTTCTCAGGGTACCTTGTTGCCTAAAACTGTGGAATGCGGTCTCTGTTCTGATGATGAGGCAGCCCACCATGGCTGCTTATCCATGGTAAGTTGTGCATTCTGTGGCATTGTCCTTGAGAGACTGGTTTTGGCAGAGAGAGGTCAGCAAAGTCAGGGGGAAGTTGGTAGTGGACCGGTTTGTGGATGATAAATGAACTGGAGTGAATTTTGCTCTGTGTAGTGGATATTTCGATGGGATTATTTCTTGCCTCAGGTCCTACAAAAGCATCAGAAAAGCAATAAACTAATCCTTTGCTGGACCATCCCCCAGACTTCTTTTGAACTCTCTGTAACTTGCCTTGTACTGATGCGTACTTTTGTGTTTCTGGGCTTGGTTGTATAATTATACTTCTGTGGTATATGCACATAAGGGAATTATTTGCTGCTGCCCCTCATTTTTACAGTAAGCTGTTAATCCCTAGACACAACAGATTTGAGTATAATGTGCTAGCTGTCTCAAAGCTGAATGCAAACTTCCAAACACTTTTCATGGTAAAAGGGTGTTCAGAAGCCTAAAAGGGGTAAGATGTGCGAGTACCAAGTTTTCTCCTTAGAGGGATTGCTAATCATAACTCTCAGTTACAAAAGAGAAACCGTGTAGCTTACCCTTAGTGATATATTACACAGACCTCTTGTGCATCTTATTAATTGCCTAAGTAATTGTATCAGTCAATGGCATTTAAAAGATGAACCTTTCCCAAGGGATTTTGCTTGAGTCACTTTTCTAATCTATTACGCATGTAAATAGCCAAGGAGCTTTTAAACGAAAGGATATGGGTGCACAGAATCTGCACTGCGGTCTTGAGCTGTTAATACTTGTCTTTGACACTGAACCACTCCTACTTAAATGGTAGTGGTTTGTGTGGTTTCCACACATCTCAAGGAATGAATGTTTAGACTTTGCTACACAAGAGCAGATGTGATCAGAACAAAGTTATGGCCTTTTCTGAAGTGAAATGTTTGTTTTGCTTGGTCCCTCAAGCCAACAGAATCACACGCAACATGTAATTTTAACCCTGGGAGAAAATGTTTTGTATTAGATGTTGGATTCAGATGCTTAAGTCTTACCTCTGTGCAAGTATCAGGGTTCCACAGTTCTGCCATCACAGAGGCAGCTCATGGCCCAGTCCATGCAGGAAAAAAGTCCTATAATTCCCAGCATGCCTCAGCCAGCACTGTTGATTGGGCCACACTTGGAGTTGTATTCTGTCTAAACATGCAGAACATTGTGCCTCTAGTGACCAGACTTCAGGGGCTTTGTTGTTGCTCTGTTCCTGACCATCTGCTTGTATTCATATTATTCTACCTGCTGAACCTGGAATATACCTGAAACCCATCTGGTTAAAGCTTCCTCTGCAAAACCTTTCCTGGCTCACATCCTTATATTCATTTACTAGTTGTAATAGCAATAAAACTGGGGCAGCTTCCTCATCCATGTTACACTTTCATCCATTTGCAATCTTGAACTGTTGTCTTTAGGCATATTACTGTTTTATGAGCAGAGATGATGATTCTTTATAGAAGGAGGGCAAAAGTAAGAGGCAATCAGGCAATACATTTTTATTCCGCTCACTATCTCTATTCTGAACAGTTTATGTAATTCTGAAAGAATAAAAAGACTGTACACAATAAATCAATAGGTAGGGTTACTTATTTGCAATATGTGAATGCCTTCTGTTCTGATGAATAGTGTTCTTAGTTTACTGCCTTTTTATTTTTGTAGTTGTTGGCTGCAGGGCTCACCTTCAGTATAAAGGCACCCTTGTGTCCTGCCTACAATCGAATGCAGAAATCAAACCATGACTCATTTTGATTTTCCAAATTGAGTTCTTGAAGTGCTTCAGTTTATGTGTCTGTTTATAAGCCTTGTGTACAAATCTCCATCTATTCTCTGTAGACAGTGCTATAGTGAAAAACACTGTGTTCTTGAATATAAGTAGCTGAGTCCTCCACTCTGTGTTAGTGCTAAATCCATTATCCCAGTGTGAATAGTCTTTTGTTTTGTTTTGTTTAGATTTGCTAAGGGAGCAGTGTGCAAATTACTTACTTTGGAGTAGATCTGAATGAGAAACTCTAGAATTAAGTTGCATGCCAGGAGGGCTTGGTGACAGAACTGCTGAATAACTTACAAATCAGAGACCTTTGCTTTCAACTGTTGCAAACAGAACATGTTTTGTCAGGAACCATTGGTTGTAGTATCATTACTGGACACATAGCCCTGGGACCCGTAGCTTCAGGGGCAAGTCTGGAAAGCGATCCGTCTCCAGCTCATGTCTAATTGTAAGACAGTTCCATTTGTTCAAGACATAGGTCATCTATTAGTAATGAAGATTATGGTCCTCCCCAGGTTATGTGTCTGTTGGTTTAAAATAGCACCTCTGTCTCCTGAGGTGCCATTTTGATTATACCAGAACACTCATGTCTAATAGCTCCGTTGACATGAGTAGCACTTGCGATAATCAAACACTGTAGGGGTATAATTGTTCTTTTATATTGTCTCTTAGTTGGAACAGTTTCTTTTACTCTTTCTATCCCCTTCCTCTCTAAAGAACAAAGCAGCGCGAACATGGCAGGAGAGAGGCTGCTACTCATCTAGGTCACATTGCGTTGGAGTTGAATTACAGAGGTAGAGGTATAAGATCAGCCAGTAAGTCACCTGAATCCTTGGCCCTCTTATTTGAACCCATGTGCTGCATGTTCTAGGTTTGATCCCCAGTTGGACACCGTGATTCAGTTCTCTGAAATGTGGAAGTATCGAGCCGAGAGTGTTCATATCTTGTGCCCAATATGCACTGTTTTTGGTTTTTGCAGAGAGCTAATGTAGCCAAGTGGCTTCAAGACTGTGCGGAAAACCAGGTAGGGAGAGCTTTCCCATCACTTCTGCTGAGCTTTTGAAAATGGAAGACAAAACCGGAGATTCTGGGGATTGAACCTGGGGCCTTCTGCATGTCAAATGCGTGCCCTGCAGCTCAGATTTCCTCTCAGCCTTGCAGTCATGATCTCGGGCTCGAAGTGCATGTGGCATTACATTTAATATATACGTATTTTAAAAATGCAGACCTCATCCGCTGGAAGGGTGATAATTATCCAGATCACATGGGGGGTTTCACTTCTCGCTATGGCCTTGTAGAAAGTCCCTCTTCTGAAACTACTGTGTGCATTGGCACCGAAGGGGAGTTTCATCCGAGTACAAATAGCGGCTTCAGAGGAGTAGCTGCAGCGAGAGAAAAAAGTTAACTTCTCCATCTCGCCCTCATGTGATCCTGATCAATATTACTACCCCCACCCAGTCCCAAGCTACTGCTATTCCCATCTCCCAAGAGGTGCACATTACACAGACACGTCTCACATCAGGCTTTAGCCAAGCCTTGTATCTTGATAGGTACGCTTACTATACAGAAGGTTATCAGGATTGTCAGGTGAGTATGTATGAAGTGCTCTGAATGCTTGAAAGTGCTTCCTGAAGTCTAAATTCCCTTCATAAAAAATAGTATCTTCTAGTCAGAATATTTAGGCCTAGATTTTATTATATTTATATCCTACAATTCTTCCTGCAAGAAACCCAAGGTAGGTGAGTATTGTGAGAGAGAGAGAAAATGTGTTTATTTCTTATACCCATATCCTGCCTTGCCTCTAAGGAGCCCAAGACGGCATGCCTACTCCTCCTCCATTTTTCTCCTCACAACACTCTGGTGAGGGAGGTTGAAGTCATCCAGTGAGCTCCATGGGGACTAAAACCTAGATATTCTAAGTTCCAGTCTAACCTCTATACTGTGCTGTCTCTCCAGTGAATAAACTATTCAGTGTGTTATGCCTGAAATAGTTGTGCGTATTTTAATTTAAAGCCAATATCTAAAGATTTGGAAGGTATTTTTAACCAGGAGCACTTAATGTTTCCAGGAGATATCAGGAAAGTTTCTCTCTGAGCTCTGTGCAGCTTGAAACATGTTTATTTCATTTTTTTTTCTTGCAGGAAACCCAAGTTAGTTTACATAACCCTCTTTCCCCAACGTCAGCCAATGAGCATCTCGGCCAGGCCCCTGAACCCAGATCTCCTGAATCCCAGCCCAGCACTCGGGTCTCTGTGCCACACTGGCTCTCAGCAGCTCCAGATCCGAAAGTAGCTGAGGTCTTTCGTTAGTTTTCCAGTTGAACTTGCACCATCCTCTTGTAGAGATAGGAACATGTGAGGGGTGAAACATGGCTATTTCCTGTAGAAATGCTGATTGGATTATCAGTGCCGATAGTGATATGTGTAGATACAGCTGTTCTCAAGCTATTTTGTAAGATGGTTTCATGTCGTGAACACACATTATAACCATCCATCATCATCATCGTATGTGTGGCTGTGTTAAATCTGTGACAACAGGGCACTAAAAGTGATTTAGAGACAGTGACCCTGGTGTTCCTTCCACACTAAGCAAATCCCCTGGTATCTCAAAGGATTGCCAACAATCTTACGCATATTCTGTTGGGCTTAATATAGGTGTTGTGGAATGTGGGAATCAGCATGCCTTCCTTTATTTTGTGTGAATCCTGTGGCACTTTATAGATCGAGACGTTTCTCGTGGCGTAATCATTCTTTCATTAACAAGTATTATTACTGAGCAGCTGCAGGCTCTGTGGTGGCCAGAGAGCCTCTTTTCTTTTCACTCTGGGTATCTCGGATGCAGTGACTCACCTGCAATCTCTCCGGCAAATTGCAGATGCATTAACTCTCTTTCTGTGAGTGATCTTTTAATTCAAATTCAATTCTTTGAATGCTGTTTCTCATGTAACAAGAATAACAGCAGCCATGCATCGGAGAGAGGAAACAGTACGTTCAGTGATGGGACCTTCAAGGTGTGCTGAACTACAAGAATAATTTTAGAATATAATCCTTAGGGATTAAACCCTCAAACTAGCTAACAAGGTCTGAATGTGCTGAGGGCATGGGCTGCTGACTATTGAAAGAAAACTGAAAATCTGGAGCAATAGGGGGGTAGAGAACGGATATTAAACAGTTAGAGCATCTCATTATCCCGATAGGTAACACATTTATTTATACAGACATTCATGCACACACATATTTATAAGCCACCTAGAACAGCCAAGGCACATGTTAGATGTTAGTTTAAATATCCCTATGGGCAGAAGGGAGAGCTGCTCATAGAAATCTGAAGAGTTGCAATATTAGAATGTCGCTGCGGCTGGGACTCGTTCAGTCCACCCAGAAACCCCACAAAGTCCATAATGGCCCGATGGGGACTGTATGCTCAGTAGCCGCAGTGTGCTGACTGGCTGCAGAGCAGGCACAGAAAACTGGGGAGAAGAAATGGCTGAACGGAAGCCCCTGACAGCGTGATATTTTGTTTCAGAACCCCAGTTGCTCCCTGTTTCCCGTATTAAGCGCAATTGCCATTACTTACTTGCAAAGGCAGCACTTCCCAGACAAGGGAAAAGTAGGAATGGATCTGAGGGAGCTACGATTCGACGACTGAGATGGTGGCGGTGGGACACAGATGGGAAGTCAGGCCAGAGGACGAGGGCATGTCATCGAGGAGGGCATAGCTGACCTGAGCAATGCCCACCCGCACTTCAGGCCGCAGCTTTTGTTTCTGTGCAGAGCTCAGACGTATCCAGGATAAGAAAAGTTGCAGTTAGGACGCTTTTCAACAGAAATTGGCTGCTAACAATAAGAGTCGATGGGAATTTGACTATCTCTGAGCAAAACAAGATAATACAGTGTTTCTCAGTCTCTTTTCTGAACTGTACCCCCTGAGCAACATAGCAACTTAACACATGTGCTTATGCCATATGTCCACCTCATTCAGTTTTAAATTCGCTCTGAATGCGCTGCATCTTACGATATGTGCGTCAAGTATATTTTTCAGACTGGATCTTTAGTTGCCTCTGATGGATGTATTTCAAACGCATCAGGTCTGACAATCTCTTACTAGACTCTTAGGAGGGGAAGAAGAATGGAACAGCTTGTGTACTAATTGCCTTTTTTATCCCATTCCCACCCCACTAAGTAGCTACTGCAGTAACATCTTATTTGCAGAAAGTTTCGCATAATCTGTTTTGTCTAGGCTAACTATTTGAAACAGGTGGTACATGGTTATACATAATAACAGAAACATTGTATGTGTAAGGAAATAGTTCAGTATTGTGACCTTGCTTCGTTACAGCACGGACTGCATATTAAGTGGCTTTAATTTGGCAGCAGCCCACCTCCCAGAAGCTTTCCATCAGCTTATTCCTTCATTTTCTGTAATTTTGCTGCAGTAATTGGCAAGAATTTTTACCAGGCTCATGCCCCTCTGACTTGGCAGTGGCTGTGCAGGGAATCTAGGTCCTCAGGGAAAGCTGCATGAAGACAAAGACACATTTTGCCAGAATTGTTCATTAGATAATTTAACCAGATAATTAAGTTTGGTGTTGCTGCATGTAATGTTTGGATGGTGTTACATCAATGTAAAAAAAAGTAGGATAGAAAACACTTTCTGGAGACTTGCTCAATTTCTAGAATTGTTTTCAAGTCCATAGTATCTCTGAATCATTGTGCTGCTTGAATCATTAGCATGAAATCCTATATACTGTATATTTATAAGTTGTTTCCACAAGGGCAGTCTTGCCTTTTGTGACAGACCATCCTGATCGCAAAATTCATGAAACTTGCAAAGAAGTCACTGTTGGGTAGCTTTAGAATTTGCAACTTTGAGCCTTTTATCTCTTGAAATGCTGGGCCCTGCTCAGTATAAGTTTAAACAAAGTCTTCACTATTTTTTTAAAAAGTCTATTTGCTTCCACAGGTGCTGGAGAAAATCTGGAAAATACCATGGCAGCTTTTCGCCAGTGAGTATAAAGCTGACCTTTATCCAGGCTTGCCTACAGAGACTTATGTGCTGCATGGCCAGTTATTCTTGGATAACAATTGTTTAATTTCAGCTTGATTCCTCCCCATATTCAAGGAGCTAATTCCAAAGAGAGCCCTGCTTATCTGGGGGTCCCGTTTCACAGCACATGGGTGAGGGGAGAGTTGAGGTGCATATCCAGGATGGGCCTGTCATTCATCCCCACCCTCAGCCATGGGGATATGGACAGCATTCTCACATGCTGCAGAAACACAGTGTCCTGAGAGGCCTGGGCGATAACAGGCTAGGCAGCAGGTCTAAAACCCTGCAGTTCCTGTTCACGTATCAACACGAGCATCTGAGCATCCCTTGAATGGGAACTTCGTTTGCTTTCCGAAAGGAGGACATCTAGTTTCAGGGTCGGCCCCTTCAGTTCAGGGAGGCAGGATCTAGGTTTCAGCCAGAAAAGGAGGAGCCTATCTCTCCAACTTCCGATCTTCTCATTGCAGTCAAAGTTCACTTCTTGCAACCCCTACATTGCCCAGGTGCCCCCCTCCCGGGGGGGGGGAGAGATCAAATAAAGATGTGAGGCAGGATTCCCTTCGCTTTCTTGGCCAGCTTCCACATTCACCTGTAGCAGAATTCCCCTCTTTTCCTCTCCCTCCTGCCGGCCAATTCAGATAATGCTTTTTCTCTTGGTATTTTGGGGAAATAGTATTGTGTGTGTTGTTCAGAGGAAAATGGTATACAAGTTACGACTTGCCTGAGATCACTTGCTTTAAGATTGACATCTGAAACTAGAACCCAGGGGACAAGATTAAGTTTTCCTTGAACCAACGCATAATACTGCCTTTGTTTTGTTTTTTTGTTAGCACTCGCTTTTTAGCAATACTTATGCATTGCACATTCAAAGAACAAAACATGTAGGTTATTTACTCCATAAATATTTTAATATTTTTGAAGATGTGTAAACCTCATGGCAATTCTTGTCATTAGGATCAGGATGCTGATCCTAAAAGGTGGCCTTTATGTTGGCATATCTCAAAGCTTTCCTGCATGGGTCTGTCTGTCTCTCATTCTCCCTCCCTCCCTCCCTCACCCCCCCCCCATCACTCTTGGGGGAAAAAACACCAGAGGTCAGTGGGAAGGCAGCTGTTCAATGGGTCAAAATGGACCGATCATGCTGCTGTCCTTGGATGTCTCTTGCAGTGAAAAAGTACGCTGCAAAGCTCAGAGAATCATCAAGCTGGCTTTCCTCTTGGGAGTTTCAGCCAAGTTTGACCCTGGTTGTGCATTAACACTTGCGGTTCAGTTTCCAGATTTCAAAGCCCATGCTCCCCTTGGGCTTTATAGAATATACTTCTGGTTAAATGGGCCTGTTTGCATGTGGGCAAGCAGCCTGGCGCAGATACCGCAAGTGGCACGGGCAGTGGCAGGAGGCTGTGGCAGACCTTTGACAGGGAACGCCAATTCGCGGGGGGCCTGATGCTAGCAGAGACGGGCTGGCACAGCCGCGTAGCTCCCTCCCTCTCCTGCCTGCTCCTCAGCCAGTGCTTCCCTATAACTGCAGCCTTCTTAGGTATGTTGACTGGACTGGAAACATGAATACTTCTGGCTTGAATACTGTCAGACCTAACAGACAATCTGGCTGTGACGGATTTAATGCGTTGAGTTTGCATTTTCCTTAGAAAATATTTTCTTGCTCAGCTTGCTCCTGGTTATGAAGTGCAGTACATCAGTCCCAGGGGCCAAAAATGACTCTCCAGGATTCCTTTGAAATGCACACCTTTTCTCTGGCTCCCCCACCTTTCCCCAACCACTAGTGGTTCAGCTTCTCAGTTTTTGTGCATTTTTCTGAAAGGTTGACATGCCTCTCAGAAGATTTAGTTACTGACAATAAGAACTCTAAAACAGGCCAGCATTTCTATTCCCTCCCCTCCCACCTTTTGCATTTGGCACCACTTCCCATTGGGATGTGGGCCCCAAGAACATCTTCAAAATGCACTTAATCCCTTGGCCTGAAAGAGACTCTGCACCCCTGCTTTAGAGTGCTGGAACATTTCAGTTAATGACACACAAGGGTATACCGCAATCAGCTGTGTACTTGTTCAGCAGTCAGCTTTCCATTCTTTTAGGCTTGCTATACACACCTTCGTCATTGCTCTGCTATCTGCATGGGGCTCTTTTACAGTAAAAGACAGACCAAAAAGTCCTGCTGTGTAAAAAAGAAAAAGAAAATAAAAGGGTGTAGCCTTGCAAGTTCTTAAAATGAACTGTGCATAATAATCACCTTGGGTCATTAATTGCTTTGTGTAAGACTTGTAGCTTATAATTTACGACCTACATGCTCTGCAGTAACTTCATTTCAGGTACTGAGGGGCACTTGGCAGCAGTTCAAAAGGTGAGTGGGCTGCCGGTGAGCATCAGCATCCTGGAGACAGCAGGGAGTGGAAATACTTTCTTCCTAAGGCCTGCCAAGTTTCCCTTTACAGAGTGGCAAATCACAGCAAATTTCTCAGCAGGGAACTAGGAGAAAAAACAGACACGGTTCTTGGTGGGGGAATTCTGATTAGATCAAGGAATTGACTTCCCAGCCCACCCCCAATTCTTTCATTGTACTTGATCTTGTCAACCATTAGAGCCACCTCTTCCAGTGTGTTTGGCAGGGCCACCCTTGGGTAGGGCTATTGAAAGGTGTCCTGGGACTTTTCATCTCCACTGCAGTTAAGCACGGTGGGATTAACTGCTGAATTTAGTGTGCAAAAACCGGAAGCCAAGTAATCTAATACAAATATAAAATTCCAATAAATTAATACACCCAGCAGGCCCAGTGGTTAAGGGTAAGGGGAGGGGTCATCTGGTGAGCCCCAGAGACCTGACTTGGGACCTCAGGCTTGAGGTCACCCAACCCCGGTCTAGAAGTTGCAGGCATAGACATTTGGCTCAGTTGGCATCACAGGGCCAGTCTCCTGGGTTCTTGTTCAGCTCCAATCACCACCTCTGCCAGGTGTTGGCCATGAGCCTGTGCAATGTACCTGGATTCCTGCTCCGTTTAGCTTCCTCTGCCGTATCTTCAACTTTAGCATCAAAGCGTACACAGAATAACAACCATGTCTTCAGTAACAACTTAGTACGACTACCAAAAGAGTGGAGGTTTGCTTAGCTTGGCTGGCTTTAGTGTTGCTTGTACAATATTGAAGCAAGAGCTCATTCGTGCCTTTACCAAGACCTCTGGAAAGGAAGTGGGGACTTAGGTCAGCCTCACGCTTTGCACAAGCACAGAGTGTCTTAGATCGCATACAGTGAGGATGAGCAGCCAGGGTAGAAATTGCTCCTTGGTTACCAATATAGGGAGCCAGTAAAGCCTTACTCCCAGGTGTGGCCAGCCAGCTGCTAGAACACCCTGAGAAGGCATAGCTCTGGTTTTACAGTCTTCTCAGTTGTTAGCACTGTTTTTTATTTAGACTCAGCTGTGTGGCCTAAGAACCGCAAGTAACCCGTGCACACTGTGGTCGTCCTTGGACTGGAAACAGAGCGTCTGTTAAAGGGGGAAGCTGTCTTGTGCCCCAGCGTGAGGTTTATGTTTGTTCTCTCTCCCTTCAGCGCAGTTAATGTGGGGACTGATATGCTGGAACTCGACTGCCATTTGACAAAGGATGAGCAAGTTGTGGTGTCTCATGACGAGAACCTGAAACGATCCACAGGGGTGGATGTCAATATATCTGACCTCAAATACTCTGTAAGTTGAACACCCTCCTCCTGTCTCTCTTACTCAGTCCCTTATCTAAAGCTTAGAAAACAGTTGGCAGTCGGATTAATGTAAATTAAAACTGGGAAAATTGAGAAAGGCAATCAGGCCCCCACAGCCTTGCAAATTGTCTCCCCTGCTGAGACTTGCAGTGTAGCTAAGCATGGAGAACCAAACTCCCAATTTTAAAAATGCAAAGCCCTTGTGTATTGGGATATTAATAGCTTGACAAATCTGTTTATTACTTTAAAAGAAATTAGATTGTGCAACTCAAATGTTAAGTTCATATTTGCTTGTTTCAGAACTTCTTAGTGTGCTTTTGAGCATCTCTGAACATCCATGAGGAGCTAGTTTCTCTACATGTGAAAGCTGAGGTGCTTATAGTTCTAAAGGACACAAGCTTCTCCAAACACCTTTGATGTTTGAATGCTCTCTGCCCCATCACAAAGACATCAGAATGCCTGTAGCCTCAGGGTTAAACAGATGGTGTCATACATGTTGTCCATTTGCTCTACCAAGGATCACGTCTGTAATTTTTTTTTTCTGGCTTCTGAACTCCATTTGTATGTGAAGCAGGCAATGGGCCCCAACTACAGGGCAGCAGATGGAATACTGTGTTCCGGGGGCAGCCTCACATTCACATCTTGCCAGCACATCCCTCAGCAAGGAACTCCAGAACTCCAGTCTGTTAACACTTCCATGGTGGAGACCACCCAGTTCTGTCTTGTCCTTTCACAGCTGCAGGGATTTTCTGGGCCTTTCAAGCTTGTTTTCCTCCTTAAGAGGCTTTTCTGTTCCCCCGCCCCCCACTATGAGTTTAGTTAAGCAGGTAAAGGAAACCTAAATCTTGTCTTAATTCCACTTTTATGAATTCCTTACTTAATTTCTTACATCGGAACTTAATTTATTTAGTTCATCAGTTCCTCTGTTTAGAGATCTTTTGAAAAGTTGATTTCTATTCTAACCCTCAACAAAGTCTGTATTTTGAGTTACCATTTTTCTTTATTTCTAATGTTCCTTTCTCTGCCAGTATTAGCCATGTTCCTGTGACTTTACATCTAAGCACTGGATCTTCCTTCTCAAAAGTGAACTTTGATTATAGGGTTGGCAGATGGTTTGGAGCCAAGCAGCTTCTGGATGCTGGGCTCTCCTAGTTTTACAGCTATGTATTTGTGTGCATTTGAGTTAATATTTCATTACTTCTTTTCAAAGGAACTCCCACCATACCTCTGCAGACTGGATGTAACTTTTCAGAAAGGTAATCTGTAGCTTTCATTTTTTTTCTCACAATTAATTTCTTGCTATATACAGGTTTTCATAACTGGAATTTGCCATGCTATCATGCCTGCATTATTTCTGATTTGGTTTTTTATATGTTCAAAGCAGCTTACTTCAGAATAAAATAGAACCACACGACCGTATAAAAACCACATACAAATTAAAAGCCAGACAACAGTGTTAAAAATGACAGAAACAATACAGAGAGTCAACTTGGCCATAAAATGACTTCTGACATGTTAGAAAATGTTTTCTTGTTGCAAAGAGGGGAGAGAAGGTGCTGTGCTGTCTTGGAACCCGAATGTTAGGTGGTGCATTGGAGTGAATTCCATTTAATTCAGCTGCTCTTACTCCCAACTGAATGTGGCTCACGTGTTCCAGGAGTTTCTGTGCTGGCCTGTATTTGGATTTTTTAAATTCTTGTAATAGCCCTGCAACAGAGGTTATAATTGTTTGCCTAAAGTGCTCTTCATATTTAAAGCATTTTCTTACTCTGCTCCTCAGCAGAAAGCCTAAGACAGCATCTCAGATCAGATCAATACCCACCAGACAGTCCTTGACTGCTTGCTTCAAGTCTAAAAGTCAAAAGGAAAAGAGATAAGGAGCAAAGAACGGGCAGGAAGCAAATGCAGGCACTCGTTCTTTTTTATTTAACTTCCTTCGCTTGCGTGCTGCCCCATTAGCCACAGGTTCCCTTGTGAAGCTTTTAAGGACCATCACAGATGCAAATACCGGAGGGAAAGAAGGGGCTTGGTTGAGCTGGATTCCTGGCAGACTGTTCAACGGCCCTGCAGGCCCCTCTGTTGTGCTGCTAGTCCAAACTGGATGCTTCTCCCTCAGTTACTGTCGAATCTGTTTTATCTTTCCCTGGTGGAGCTTGTTCAGTTCCTTCTTCCTGTATGTATAAGATCCAAATGTCCATTTATCAAATTTCTTTACTACTGCTTTTGAAATTTGTTGAATTCCATTGCCAGACGTTGCAGAATTAGGTACAGGTTCCAACAGGCATGCATTTTGATAGCACACTCTACCATATTGATGTGAAGGGAGGACTAGACTCCTGTTTGATCAGTGAATAGATTGGCTTACAAGAAGGTGGTGTCCAAACTCAACAGGTCCCACAAGGGGGCCGAGCCCATGCATATGATGCACAGAGACCACAGAGAAGTTCATATCCTGTTTGGATTAGGTGCCTTGCCCTCTGCTACACTTTTAATATGGCGATAATATTGGTCTAGCTCAAAGTTAGCAGGATCCGGAGAGAGACTTACTTCTGAGTAGATGCATTTAGGATCAGGGTATTTCCAGGAAAACCTTCATGCTAAAGAGGGCAAGGCTGTGTGAAGGGGACTCTAACATTTTTAAAGGAAGATAACTGCGATCATTGGTTTCCCGAAAATGAGTCTATGCAGCTATCCTCATCAGAAACCTCTGATGTAAAAGGAGGGGTACTAACAAAGTGGTCAAGCAGGTGTTTTGCAGGCTGAGGAAGATTCCTGTCTGGGTACTTTGTCTGGGTCATTGCCGGTCAGCATAGAGCAGGGAATTTTGACCCCACGACTAGTTTTGAGCACAAGAACTAGACCGCGTTAATAGTCCCTTCTGCACATGCGACTGCTCCTGGTTACCCCAAGCCCTTTTCATTTGAGCAGGGAGGTTTTATTTTCCCATTGCAACCATTACACAGTTGGAGGTTAGCGATCTTTGCTCTGCTGTAGATTGGCCTACAGTTAGGAGGTCTACTGGTAAATTCATACCTGCCTTCGGCCCAGCCCTACCATAGATAACATTGAACTGAATGAGCCGGTGGTTTGATGTTCAATATGGCAGCTTTTTATAGTCCCTCAGTAGCAGATCCTGACTTGCTGCCACCTGGTGTGTTTGAAACAACCCTGGTTCTTTCAGTTGCATATGACAATCACTGGCACATGCCCCAGTAGCAACCCAGTTCTGCTCGTGTCCTTCAGAGTGCCACTGTGAGGGTGAAGACAAGCGCATCCCTTTGCTCAAGGAAGTGTTTGAGGCCTTCCCGCACACACCAATCAACGTAGACATCAAGGTGAACAATGACTTGCTGATTAAGAAGGTGAGTCCCTCTGCCTAAGCCTGTGTCCTGACAGCACCAAATCGGAGAAAGATTGGCTCTCTTGCTTTGGAGACCAGTGTCCTGGGGGCTAAATTAATGATTTAGCACAACGTCCTTGTGCTTCAAAAGCCAGCATGCTCACACATCCCTTTGGGAAAGGACATCAGGGTATTGTTGCTGAAAGCAGCTGGATTATATTTATTCATCAAAGCATCCCTACAAAAACAGGGCACAAATCTCCATTTCTTTTTTGATCCCAGGTTTCGGAACTGGTGAGCTTTTACAAAAGAGAACATTTGACTGTTTGGGGAAGTGTCAGCCACGAAGTTGTAGAAAAGTGTCACAAAGAGGTATGTGACCCAGAATGCCTCTGTGGTAAATTTCTCCTCTAAACCGTTTTATGTTGCTCGTCAGGAAAATGCCTATTTCTCATTTTATCCTCCATCTCCCTCCCCCATTTTATCCTCAGAGCAACCCTGTGAGGTGGGTTAGGCTAAGAGTATGATTAGACCCGGGTCGCCCAATTGGGTCTGTGGCAGGGTGGGAATCAGAACCAAGACCTCCAGTCAGACAAGGACTCTGTCACACACTCCATCTTGCTTACCGTTTCATCTGCCCCATGTCAACTTTCTCTCCTGTTTGGCTAAAATTACAAGTTTATCTTCAGGGACATTTGAAAACATGCCTATATTTCCACTTGAGCTGGTGGACTGAGATTTCTTTTGGTCAGCTTGGCTTGGTTTTTCAGAAATCCTTAAAAAAACCCCAAAACATATGTTTTGCTTTTTGACCAAATCCTGGATGGTACTTGGGTGTGAGTGAGATAACAGGGCAAAACCGCCAAAGACCGGGGCTACTGTTTGTCAGCCCCCAGAAGGCCTTGCAGTTCTGCGGCTCGTGCACCATCGGAACAAGAGATCTATTAGGTTCAGGGTCACACCACCAACCAGAACAGGCTAAAGCTTGGCAGCCACTTAATGGCAGGTGGGCCACTTATTGCCCTCTGGGCATTTGGATGTGCCGCTTCCATCATTCCTCACCACTGGCTGTGGCTGATGGGAGTTACAGGCTGGGATACTTGACGCTGCCCTACTGGGGAATGCTGCTTGTATGGTATTCATAGGTAAGCGTCCCCCGGACCATAAGCAAAGGACTGGGGGCAGGACAGTTTGCGGGCACGTAGGCAGCCAGAGGGCTTACGGAGCACCTAGCGCGTCTCCGTGTTTTGTTCATCCCAGTGGGCGAGCTTTCTGCAGCTTTGTCAGACAGTCCTGGCCACTGAGTTGCTCCCTTGCTCACAAGGGTTCTGTGAGCTCATCCGGGGCCTGCGCGGTTCCCTGAGGCCCAACTCTCCCTCTGAGCTGCAGCTGGCATGGAAGAATCCAATGAAAAATGGTGGGGCCTTCTAAACCTCACTAAAAACTAGAGGTGGTTCCGGATCACAGTGAAGGTGGAGAACAAAACCGGGTCCGTCTTGCTCGGTTCCTGTTCTAACCGGTCTTGGCTGTGAATTAAATGCCCTGTGTTCATACCGTGCTCTCCCTGCTTTCAGAACGCCCACATCCCCATCCTCTTCTGCTTGCGACGTGTCCTCCTCCTCCTCGGCCTGTTCTATACCGGCCTGCTGCCGTTCTTTCCCATCCTCGAGGAATTCTTGGAGATTCCCATGCCTTCCATCATCCTCAAGTAAGTAACCTGTTTTGCAAGTATTCCAGAATAAGGGGGAAGTCAGCAAAATCATTGGCGGTGCCAGCCTGGTGCAGTCAGCCGGTTCCCCCGGCTGTCACAGTTTCAGGGTCACTCCCAAGCTCTAGAACTTCCTTCCACGTTGCAGGCAGGTTGCCCTCTTTCGATTGTGCTTCCCCTAGCTGGCAGAGGGATATTGTGCTTGGCAGGTCTTTGCCCACATTCTTTGCTCGCTTGCCGAAAGCCAGTTTAACTGTTTGATGCTGTTTACTTCTTTGTGTGTTTAATTGTGGGGTTAAATAATGTTTATGAACTGTTTCGATTAAGGTTTTGTACGTCTCGGTCATCGTATTGGCCGCCTTGAGTGCCATTCTCTTTGGCCGAAAAGCAGAACAGAACTTAAGTAAGCTAGCATTTAAACGTGAAACCAGCTCAGATGATTTTCCTATCTAGCCTAATATTTTGACTGTCCAGGATCAGATCTGGACGAGCTTTCTAATTAAAGCCTTTATGTTAAAGCTGGCCAGCCAGACTGGCTTTGTACCCATAGACACAAGTGAAGCTAGAATGCCGAGCATTAGGGAAGTGCAGCTTAATCTTTCAAAGCTGATTCCAGAATTAACATCTTTCTTCCCTTCCAAACAGAAAGGCACTCAAAGGAACGCTCTGGCCTCTTCGTGGCACCTCTTGCAGGATAGTATGTGCAGCCAGAGACTGCATATTGGAGGGGAGAAGGGGAGAGAAAGCAAGTGGGAAAACAATTCACAATAGTATAAAAACTCGGTGTAGTATAAATGCATTGTCAAAGTATGTGTTGCAACATTCAGCTGCCCCTGAGGCCCCACCTCTGAGTGGCCAGCAGGGTTTGCCTCCCCCCCCCGGGTCCCCGAACCCCAAACGCCTGGGGCCAGACACTGGATTCAGCACATGACAACCCCGATCCCCCTGCTTTTATCCAGTTTGCTCAAACAAATGACTCATGGAGTGACGTTTCCAGGCAGTACCCAGGTGAAAATGGTGCACCCTTCAGGTCAACAATCTCTGGCTTTGAAGAGGAGTGAATGGCTCTGTCCTTGGAAGCAACTGAGGGTGTTTTGCATTCCCAGTGCTATCAAATCTCAGCCTTGGCCCCTGGTTTTCCCTGAGTCGTCCTCCGGCTGAGACAGCCAGTCCTTCATGCCCAGAGTTGACCCTTCAGTTTCCACAAAGCCCTGAAACTAGTTCTCCGTTACACGTGCATCCCTCTAAAGTTTAGTTGATAATGCCGTACTTGCACAAAACTGATCTATGATCTTATCAGTTATGCCCAATTAGAATAGTTCAGTTATTTCCCTTTCAGTTGTAAAATTATATAGCTTTTTTGCTAATCGCGGAGGAGGCAGGTAGTTAAACACAGCCCTGAAGAAGGCCCTTCGACCGTTGGAAAAACCTCCTGGCTCCAAAGGTGTTTGCACAAAGGGCTAGAAATGGGTGTGGAGGGTAGAAGATGTGTATCTGCTTCTCCGAAACAGAAACAGCTCTTCAGGAAGTCTGACTCAGTGCTGCACTTCATTCCCTGTCTGCCTGCTCACACGAACCTGTCGTCTATACACTCGTGTGATTTAGACCATGGGGAACGTGAGAACTTTGTTTCTGGGAAAGAGCTAGTCTTCAAATGTGTAGTTCTTCATTCCAAACATAACCCACTTTTGCAACTGGAGATAAGGAGCACTTTTCTTCAGCTACTTCTGTTTCGATTTCAGAACAGTTTTGGGATGGGCACCATGCCTCACGTGGCTTTGGGCACATCATAGGCTTGGGCACTTTCCCATGTAAAGGCCTTCACCTCTCTTCCCTGCACAGTGGGGATGAGCTTGAAGGCGGAAAGCGTGCCCCCCGTCCCATCCTGTTGGTCCGCCACTCGTGAGCCTGCCTCCCTTTCGTTCTCCCGCTTGCGTCTGACAGCGCATGTAAGCACATGCTCATCCTTCTGCTTTCAGGTTGAAAGAATCAGGGACGATCTCAAGAAGCCAGCGGTTTACTATATGGCTGACTGACACGTAAGGCAGTGCTATTTCCTGGGACCCTTGGCGCACGGTTGCTGCCCTCCCCTCTTTGGTGTGTGTCCGGTCGTACAGAAGAGAGGACATCACCCATTACTTCCATGGGTGGCCATCTCTTGCCCGAGCCAGAGGGTCTGCTTTCGAAGCAGGCCTTACCCAACCTCACCCCCCCGCTGCCATGCTCCATCCTGCTTCCCAGGCCCACGGTCGGATACTGTGAACTCTCGGACGCCATGCTGGGACATGCTCAGCAGCGGGCACAGGCTCGGACCAGGCTGGTCTGGCCCAGTGCTTCTGAGACTGGCCCACAGCACTGGCTCTCCCACGTTTCCCACAGCCCTCCGGGGTGATGCCAGGGACCGAACCGGGGCCCTTCTGCAGGCAAGGCAGGGCCTCTCCCACCGAGCTGCGGTGCTTTTCTCCACAGCACACAACTGCAGAGGAGGCAGCCCGCTGCATCTCTGCATGAGTCAGTCCCTCCTACACGTGTGAAAGAGCTCGTGTAGTGTAGCAGTTAGAGGGCTGGGCTGGGATCTGGGAGACCAGAGTTCTCCCTATGGAGCCATGAAGCTCCTTGTCCAAGCAACCGTAGGATGCTTCGGATTTGCTGATCCTGGTCTGGAGACAGCACTCAGAGGTCGGAGGAAGGAATCGGAGCCCCTCCTTGTCCCCTCGGGGCCAACAAATTAAAGAGGGGCTCTGGCCGCCTCTTGGGTCAGATACACAACCTCAGAGAGAAGTAAAAAGGGTCATTTTGGCAGGAGGGGAGGGGAACGGAGCGGAGCCCAGAGAGGCCTTCCTTCCACCCTCCTCGCAAAGTCCCAGCTGGGTGGGCAAAAGGCCCACCTCAAAAGATGCCGCACGGGATGGGGAGGCAGGGGTACCATTTCCTGCTGCCCCTCCCCTGCCTGGCACGCCCCTGAGCCTCCGTGCGCGGAGGCTTTTCCTCCCCATAATGCGATTGCCCCCTTAGGTTGCTTGCATTACATTAACTTTTGTGAGCCGGCGTAAGTGCAATTTTAGTGGAGAAAAGGATCTAATATTCTTTTCTGACAGAGTCCCTTTAGAACATAATACTTGTCTGGAGACATAGAAATAATCTTGCTCTCCCCATTATTGCAGATTGTTAATGAGGAAAGCATTATTTGACCACCTCACTGCTCGAGGAATTCAGGTATGGTGTGACACAGCTTTTTAAAATGCGTTGTTCTGTTCGGTGTGTGGCTGGTTCACAGCGGGCAGCCAATCAAGCTTCTGGCAGTCACTTATGCCTTGCATGGCTGCCCCTGCCCTGGTAACAGACATTTCCTGCCAGCTCAAAGAAGGAGAAAGTTGCTTTACGAGAATAAAGATGCTGCAGGGACCTTGAGTGAGTGGCAGGCTGGCTGGCTGGCAGCCACAACCCATGGCCAAGGTCTCGATGTGTCTGCGGCTGTTCCGCCAGGCCGTTCTGAAAGGGGAGGCCGAGCGGGTGGGTCCCCTCCATCAGCTTGCCTGGGAGCAACTCCTCTTTGGTCCCTCCTCTGCCTGTTGGGGGCTGAAGAAAGCAGCCCAGTTCCAAGCTCTGCAGGGCTTCTTTAAAGTCCTCTGGCGAGGGCATTTTAAAGTCAAGAAGGCAGCAGAAATGCGAAATTTCCCACTGCTGATGCACATGGGCACGTGCAAGAGCCGGCGCTGCTGCCCCGAAGAGCTTCCAGCCCGTATGCCAGTGGGAAGGGGTGATAAGGGGTGGAAGTAAGCGAGCGCTGCAGCACGTACGTCGTCATGTTTTCATCAAAGGGCCGAAAAGCAAAGCCCAGTGGCAAACGGGGGGGGGGGGCTGCCAGTTACACTTCTGAGCTGGTTTACCCTTTTGTCCTCTCCAGGTGTACATCTGGGTCCTAAATGAAGAGCAAGAATACAAGCGAGCTTTTGATTTGGGAGCAACTGGTGTGATGACAGACTACCCCACGAAGCTGAAGAACTTCTTGCATGCCTACCCAGCGTAAAGCAAGACAAAGATCGTTTTTCTTCGAAACAGAAAAACAAAGCGGACAGAAACAAGCCCAGGAGGCTCACCCTTCTGTCTGACAATTTCAGCAAGACGTTCACCCAATAACAGCCACCGGACATAAACATCTGGGTTTTATTACCTCATTCTTAAGTCATTGCACCTCTGGAGATTGTATACAGCTATATTTATTTACCATTTTAAGCAGCATAGTTTACATTTTATTTTTATTTTTTGTAAGCAGCTTGGTTAGTGGTCCGACTCTAACCGAATAGACTTGTCTAGGAGGTGAGGTGCTGACAGGGTCGCCCATAGAGGCAGCCGGCATCGCTCACTGCAGCCTTCCCCAGCCTGGTCCTCCGGCTTTGCTGGACTACGGCGTCTGTCATCCCCAAACCATGTGCTCCATCCAGTTCGGGAGGGGTAGACTACTGTTCCCTGTTGCTAGATCTTGCAGTTCAGGTTTCCCCAAGTTTGCACATGGAAGACATTCCAGCAAGAGACTTCTTTTACCGCTTTGAACATGTAAATATTCCCAGTAGACCGGCTGGTGTGGCTAAAATTACCTGCTAACCCCAGGTAGTTTATTGAGACGGGGCTCATGAAACAGAAGCTGAAAGAGTAGAAAAGCTGGGCAAGCTCTCCTTGCTAACGTGTGCTGTCCTCTCCACATAAGGACAATTTACTGGGGGCCACTTTCAGAAGGGAGCGATAGGTTACGCTCCCACCCTTTTCCCTCCTCCAGGTAAGCTGTGAGTTCCGTTTCGTCGCAGACTCTGTTTCCCCCACGTACTTTCCTCTGTTGCTGCATCGGTCACGGGGGGTGGGGATGAGAGAATGGAAAGAGCTTTTCCGCCCGCAATTTTCTGATGACCTTCCTCTGCCTGCCAGTTTTGTGGGCTCCGAATGTGCACAGGTGTGTCTGTGCATGTTTGCACAAATTTGCACGCCCCCAGATGCACACAAACCAAAAAGGCACAAATCCTCCCCGAAACACAAATTTTTCAAACTACAGTCAGATTTGTGCCTTTTTAACCTTTTTTATTTTACATATTTTTGTGTGGCTAAATGCACAAAAATACAGACAATGCCAAGACTTGGTCTGCAAGCCCAGCAGGGTCCATGCGGCATGGGAAGGCCAGTCTGCTGGGGAATCCACAGGGTGGACCCCAAGGAATCCACCCTTCCTTGAGTCCCTTGCTCTGACAGCCCTGACCAGGCTGGCAGATCTGAAGCCAGGAGCTCCAGCGGCCAGTCCCTAGTGTAGCTCATGGAACTGCCCATCTTGGGGAGCGGCTGCGGGTGTTTGACCAAAAGCAAAATGCAGAACTCGACTCCGTGTTTGTTACGTCCTCATTAGGGATCTCTGAGCATGTTAATTGTACAAGGCTGCTTCTGCTGTGACAGGTTGCCATCTTAATTTGAAGTGTTTTCAACTAGGATTCACTCGCCTTTGTCTGTGAATGGAACATTTGTAATGGTAAAACCGGCATGGAACGGTGGCGGCCTTTCCTTTGGCAAAATTCGAAATGCAAGAGGACTGCTTGGTCTTACAGATTCCAGGCTTGTGTGCTCCTTCCACCTAGTCACTCTTGCCAAGGTTGAACTGTTCAGTGGAAACCTTCTGGCTTCTTTGAATTAGTCCGCCGGCTTGGTGTGTCTAGAATTACCTCTGTGCATTTCTCGTTGTCGTTGGACCGCTGTCGCCCCGTGGCAGCGTGTCTGGAGCAAGCGTTGCATCCCATGAGAGTCTCGCCCGCCACTGGCAGGTAGTCTCTGGCTTCCCATCATGAGACTGTTTCCTGACTTGAAGTCGGCTGGAAATGAAATGGCATCCGGTTTAAATAAAGCCTTTGCAACTGCAAGGCAAGGAAGCCACACACTGAAGCTGTGCAAAGGGCAGAGTGGTTGTGGTACAGGGAGTTGAGTGTGTCTTCTGGACCCGAGCTGAGATTCCTGCTTGGTTTCAGGTTTTACTGGGAAACTTAGAGCAGTCAGTCGCCCAGCCCAGGCCACCTCACAGGGCTGTTGTGAGGACAGCACAGGCCATTTAAAAACCCCATCTGCATCATTCTGTATGCTTGGATGGCCTTGATACAAATGTGACTTTAAGAAATGATGGAAACCGGGCAAGTGTCTCCTCTAGAAACTGTAGAATGTACATACCGAAGTGTGCTTGTATGTAGTCTCTCTAAGCTTAGCTTGATCTGTACTGTGAGGTAATGTAGCAATTTCTGGGTCAGAGAACTAAAAATAACTCTTTCAGAGAATCTGTGATAAAACACCACTTCCTTCATTAAAATGGACATGCCTAAGAACAGTGTGGTGTACTGGTTAGGGTGCTGGACTGGTACGCACGAGACCTGGGTTCTAATCCCCTCTCAGCCATGGAGCTCTCTGGGCGCCTTTGAGCCAGTCACAAACCCCCAGCCTAGCCTACCTCACACGGTTGTTGTGAGGATAACATTGTGAGGAGGAGAACCTTGTAAACTATCCCCGAGTTTCTTGCAAGAGGAAGACAGGCAGCGCATACTGGCAATGTTGTATTATGTCTACAGGATCTTGAGAGCACGATTATGGGATTCTTGACTGACAGCATAAATGTAATAAGTGGCCTCACTGGGTGTTTCAGCCATGCCAGTTCGGCTCCCTCGTTTCTGTAGACTAGCCGCATTCGGTTCTGAAAGCTCGCGACTTGCTTTGTCTTCAGAACTGGAAGAGATTTAGCTTCGTATCAATTCCGCTTCACTTCAGGTGAAGAAGGTGAAAGGGCAAGCTGTGTTCCAGGTTCAGTCCAAGGAAGGAGAACCAGTCTATCCGCCACCTAATCTGTACAGGAAAAAAAACCTGACCCGGTGTGAAAATGGGACGTGTAGTCAAATCCTAAATTAGCTGTTTCCCAAATGGTGGTTACCATGTACTGTCAGTGATTCATCAGGTTATATAGCTGCACTGTGCAAAATGTAGACCTGAGAGACCATGTGTAGAACTCCTTGTATTTCATACTTAATGCAGGTTGTGTTTGATTTTTTTGTTTGGTTTTGTTTCTTTAAGGCTAGCTCTTTTTCCATACTGCTGCAAAGATCGTGGGGCCATTTCAGAGGGTGAGAAGGGAAGGAGACAGGCGAGGCCAGGACACAAAAGCCCGTCTAGCAAGAAACTCAGCATGAGAGGAAAGGCAGCCAAGATGGCCTCCATGACTCCTCCCACCACACCATCAGGTGACTGTCAGCCTCCGACTTGAGGCGCTTACAATCAAGGGCACAACCCCTAGGATCGTGCCCTCAGTTGTGCACACTACCTGAATGCACGATGTCGCCTGTGGAAAAGGTTTGTCTTGAAGAAAAATATACAGTGACCCCCTTCCCACTCCCATTCTCAACTCTTCGTTCCCTTTTTTCATCCCAGAAACCCTGGAGAAGAGCTTGGCGTCTTCAGGTTTTTTAGAACCCTCGTTCATTAGAGCGTCTAACTAATTTTGAAGGAAGCCCTCGCAACTGAGTTGGCATCTGATGCAAATTAGCCGTGTGCCAGTGCTCATTATAAAGTGATCCTGCCACTCACAATAGTTAACTTTCTGGATGTTCAGTTGCAGAGAACAGGCAATTAAGGGCGCAGTCGTCCGCCTCTTTAGATGGAGGGTGGAGGGACTATAACTCACAGGAGATGCCAAGCTGCAGGGCTGGCGGTGAGTTGCAGGCCATTTTTCTGTCTAGACATATCCATGATTGCGCTTCAAGCTGTTCTTTCACCGGGCTGACCTCTTTCAGTGCAAGTTTGCGTCACGGATGTCCAACCCAGTATATAGCATATGCCAACTTATGATCTGGTTCACCCAGAAAACAGGTGGCTTGTTAATTACACTATTTCAACATCCAGCCTTTATAGAGTAAAAACGGGCTCGTACAATTTTGTATGAAGGCTCCTGGGCAATTCATAAGTCGGACTGTTCCTTTTTCCAAATTGGGAGCGATTTGTCTTGCTTCCTGGGACCAGCACAGCTGTAGCGCTTGAGCGTAAATTCCCTGGCAGCAGATTAGATCTCTGACGTGAGATATGATCGGCCAGATGGTTGGATGGGGGTGCGGCAGCCCCCCATCAAAGTGGAACAATCTTCTCTGAAGATGATCAGGTACACCCAGGTCTCCAAACATGTCTCACCTGCTGAAACGATTGCATGGAAGCTCTAAAACTTCAACAGGCCAGTTTAACTCCAGGGTGATAACAGTTCATGCCTCCCGTTCACCCCAAATTGGCAGACGACCCCAGAAACTGCCCTGGCTGAAGATCAGTTTCTTCCACAACCTGGTGCCCTCCAGACTACACAAGCCTGCACCCCTCAGCAGGCCCAACTCATCTGCAGGGCACCAGGTTGAAAGATGCTGAAGGACAGGTTATTATACCTTGCCGTAAGCCTTGAGAACAGTTTTCTTTGCGAGAGAACAAGATGTTTCATGTCCTGGATATTTAAAAAAGGATGGATGCAGTCTTGACTTTTTTAATTTTAATGTTGTGATTGAGAATTATTAATGTGATGAAGGATACTACAAACACTCCATGCACTTGAAACATTTCTCTGGCACCAGTGGTGCTTCGTAAATGTAGATAGCAATGTGACACGGGCATTATATAGAAATATATGCTGTGAAGTATCAAAGAATCATTGTCTTTTTATTCTTAACAAAGTTCTTTGATTGCTAGGGGAACTGGGAAACGTATTGTCCCCTTGCTTCAACAGCCGCTTCTGGTCTTTCTTTGCCTTGCCTTGATCTCATGGCCTATGAATTCTGTGAGACTTATTGAAGACTTTAGTAGCATATCCTGTAAGTTAGGTCTAGAAACTATTCAGGTTTCTCAAAGCTCATGAAAATTCCTGGCCAGTGCCTCCCCCTTGCTCAAAGGGCTCATCAGAGTAGAACCGAGCAACTTCTCCTTCACTCCAGTCATCCACAAACCATTTCTAAAGCAAAAGTGCAAACCCAGTTTCGGTTTTGGAGAGATGCTCTTGGTGGGCTATGGGGGACTTGAAGGTAAACAGCTGGGACCAAAAGGATCAGGACCAACATGCCAGCCTGAAACCAAGCTTTAGGCATTTCATCACTTGTTGGAATGGAAGAAAAAGGCTGCGACAGTCAGGAAACCCCCCAAGCAACTGGGGAGGAGGGATTATCCGAGGCCGCAGGAGGACTGGCTGGAGGCCCGAGACAAGATACAGAACTGCTTCAGCAAGAGAGCCGCCCTGTGGTCTCAAACCATCCCTCCAGTCTCCCTCCTCCTGCATCTAGCCTTCCTCTTTCTATAAATGTAGTTGGTATTTTCCCCCCCTCTGGAAATGTGGGGTTTGGATTAGCATCCCTGGACTTGGCCTACATTTCTTTCAAAGCACATGCCATTTTCTTTCCCTCACCAAAGAAAAGATGGCAGGTGATCGGTACCTGAGGGAATTGAAAAGCTGGGAGGTGGGAAGTTAAGCAGGATTTCTAGCATCCATGGGATACTCTGCCTCCTCCTGTAACAAGGAAATGCAGAAAATGGCACAGAGGAAGTACAAACTTTTATCATCCTTAAATACTTTTCCTGGTGCATCGCTTATTTACTTTGATACGTAATTTTGATTCCTTCCCTCAGGTACAGAACAGCCATGGTTGATTATGGTGTTTGCTTCAAGAGCTGAGGTGCATGTTCTCTATTCATAGACAGCATACATGCAATACCAGTTATTGGAGGAAAGTGGCAGGAGAGCGAGAGAGAGAGAGCGCTTTTTCCTTCAGATCAAGCATCTGATTGTCCGTCGTTGGAGATGAGAGACTAGGCTAGATTAATCTGACTGTTCCACCTGCTCTTGTGCCCTTGAAATACTCTGCACCAAAGGGTGGAATCCTGGTTTAGAAAATGCCTGCCTCATACCATGCTGTTGACTTCATTTCCTGTGCTGCTGCGTTTCAGCAAAAGCTGGTCCTAAAGACAGGTTTCTGTGCCAACAGCTGAGATCATTAACGTACAATCCAGGCTCTCGAAATGGCAGGTTGCTCTGTTCATTTGTTCAGCCACACAGTGCTGTTCAGAGGAAAATCATCTTTACAAGTAATGCCTTAAAGAGGAAGATGCTGCCAGAAGGAAAGTGCCGACTCCCCTCAGCTCTGCCCGGGAAGCGTTTCCTGGACTTAGTCATGAGTGCTGAATATTTCAGAACTTGTCCCCGTCTCCTTGGGTCGCACATTCTGCTTCTTGAACAGCAGCTGAATTGAACTGAACTGTGTTAGCAGGATTTCGAGTTACTCCTTCCCACAAGTTAGAAAGCACATGCAGTGGTGAGTAATCTGGGGGGCAGTGCTGAAGCACCTTTGGCTTCCTTGGAAAGGAGGCTTTTGGGTTCATATTTGCATCTACAGATACCCAAATGGAGCATGATTGGAGCTTTCCCAGCTCGATGCCCTCCCGAAGTTCTGGACTACAGTTTCCAGCATTCCTGACTATTGGCCATACTGGCTGTGGCTGAGGGGAGATGGAGTCCAAAGCATCTGTGGGGCACCAGGTTGGGGAAGGCTGCCTCTCGCACTCCCAAGACATTGTCTAAACTCCAGTGCTCCCATACTGGGCTCCAGGGCAGGGGTACCGCATCCCTTTCAGCGCTCGGGCTGAATTCCAGCTTGGAGAAGCTCTTGGGGGCCATGTTCCAGGGATTGGGTGAGGCCAAAACTGCTGGCACGGTATAATATTTATTTATTTAAAACATTTGTATGCTGCCCTTTATGACAAGGTCGCATATAGTTTTTTAAAAGCTCTTACTGCTGTTTCACAAGTTTGAGGGGGCAAATTTCAACCTTTCATAGAACAGGAGGTGGGAATACACAAAGGCTCAAACACCGCCAGTCGCTGGGCATGAAAGGAAAAGGGCCAGAAGGGCATGGCTCTCGGCAAGCTTTGCTGGGTCCCCAAACATCCACGTCTCTGTTAGGAAGATAGCCAGCATCTTGAGAATCTTCTAGGGACCCACGCCTGGCTGTTGGTTTCTTCCAAATGGCTGTCTTCCTCCACCGACATCTGGATTGCAAAAACCTTCAGGTGGGAGTGGGAGGACCAGATCCCCTTTCAGATGGTTCTCTCTGGGGGCATTCTCTCAAATGATCCTGAATCAGGAAGCACTGGCCATGTGGTTTCCATGGGGACACACCACCTGCATTTTCTTCACAAAGAAGATGTGCCAAGCTAGGCCTGAAAGTTGTGTTTCTGTCCCATTCAACTCTCGTCCAATCCCCCAGGCTCACATCATGCTGATTTTAAATGTATTGCCATACGAGTTGTTCTTCCACCGTCATTTCATGCTGTTCCCGAGTGGAGGGTCATGGTTGCCTGATTTTTGTAAGAACTGTTCCCCCAAAGAGAGCGGTATTGTGACTTAATAAGGCAATTGCAGAAGTGAGCTCAACAGAGCTTGTTCCAGAATTAATCATATTACAGTTTCAGGGCCTACAAGACCCTCTTGTTTCTGCTGCACCAAACACACCCAGCTCCTCCTCTGGAGCTTGAGGCTCGCTCTTCACCCCGTGGGCTCTGGAGCAGCCTGGAATGAAGCCGGGCTAGAACCTAGGAGTCCATTCCGGGCACGCTGGTGAATATGGGAGTTTTCTTGTTTTCCAGCCCTGCTGACAGCACCGGGTCTGGGGGTGAGGGGGGCCTCCTGCCACGATCCCTGCCACCCCCTTATTCTGCAGCAGCAGCAGCAGCTTCCCTGGGCTCGGCCTGTGCAGCAAACCTGAGGGAGGGCGCTGAGCAATCAGCCAGGCTTCCCCCTTCCTTGCCACAGCCTTTCACTCCCGAGGGGCCAGGTAAACATGAAGCCAGCAAGGACCAGCACCTCCTATCCGTTTGCTTCCCAGGAGGCACAAATCGGCCGCTCGATCGGCTGCACATCACAGGCCCGAATGCTTGGGCTTTTCTCTGATGGCCCTAGCTTCGCTTTTAAGAGGTAAGGTGCCCCTGCCCGTGGCTGCAGCCAGCGTGGCAAACTGGCATGTGACAGGAAAGGCAGGGCACTGCATCTTTTTGTACTTGAGTGCCTAACATGCGTTGCTCCTTAAGAGTCAGGCAATCCCACCTCGCGCAATAGTGGGCTTCCCCTCTGCAGGCCTGCTCGGTATGTCTGGGAGGTTTTCGTTGGGGTGCAGTGCAGCTCGTTCCCACCAGAGGGCAGAAGGACCTAAAGGATTCCTTGGCCCCCGTGGCTCCCCACCCTCCACATTAGAATTCATCCAGCGGAGAGGATTTCTCTCTAGGCTGTCTGCGAATGATGCAGGACCTGCAATGCAGCGGTGTCGGCGATGTTGGGAACTGAAGACGCCGCTCGGGACTCAAAGAAATCCCGCAGCGCTCTGCCGAGAATCTGACAAGTCTCCAGGCTGAGGGGACTGGGGGCACTGATGGTGGGTTTTGCCGTTCCTCCCCTTCCTGTAACGGCTCTGCAAAGTGAAGAATAGTAGGATACCCACGTAAAAAAAATACCCCTGGAATTTTTAAAACGCACACACAACTACAACTTGGCATTAATCCAGTGGACTAGAAGCTTCTTGGGGTTTTGGACCTGAGAGTTATAGGTGGGGTGTCTCAGCCTCATCTTCCCCCCTTTCACCTAGTGTGACACATTCAGGAGACCTGAACTCTCTCCATCCCAGTTGACTGAGGCCATTTGCACTTGAGGAACTGGTGCATGGGTGCTTGTTTTTCCCCTCCCACCTCCTCCCTTTTTTTGCCCTGACTTTTGGATTGTAAGCCTGCGCTTAGGCCAAGGAAGTCTTGCCGTTTAATTTTATCTCACTGAGCTGTGAACTCCTCTGGCAGCCTTCTTATATAGAGTCTATATAGCTGTGCAGTTTCCTGCCAAAAAACCCCTTTCAAAATCCCACTTAAAAATGGAGCTTTACTTTTGATAGCTGTCAAAGGTAACTACTCCAGTAAATGGGGTTGTTTACACTTTTGCATGTTTCCAAAACGGTGGAATTATAAAAACCTGTGCAACAGTGAAAGCACCCTTAGGACATAAAAGATCCCCCTTGAATTTGCCATGAAGGATATGAACAGACCAATACCGTTTTTTCACGAGGCAAGATCAGGTGTGCCTTGGCTTGGCTTCTATTTGGCATCTCACCTTTTGACAGCTGTCAGGTGTAGCCAGAAGGGGGAAAGCACACCCCCGCCGCCTCTGGGGCGAAGCCCAGCGTGGGACCTGCCGTACTTGGCTGGCAGGGACCCTCTACATGGCCAGCATCTGCAGTTGTGCAAGTGCTAGTAAAAAGTTAAAAGAATTCACAAATATTTCCCAAAACTGGGAGTGGAGGACACAGAGGTGTCTGGTACCCACAGGCAGCCGCTCCCAGGTGGCACCATAGTACCACCAGGGGAGCCTAGTTCTCAAGGTGGGGCTTGCAGAAGCCCCTTCGACAGCCAGTGCCACGAGCTCAGCAAAGGAAAAGAGGGCTCCGGGCAGAAAAATGCAGCCCGCAGGAGCTCTCAGTCGAGCTAGGCAGTGGAGGAAGCCCGTGCCAGCTCTCCCCAAGTTCTGCGTTGGCACAGAGGGACATGCCGCCTTGGGCACGCAGAGCAAGGAGGTTCTGGCGCTCTTGCCAAGCAAGCTGGTCGCCAACGCTCAGAGC